AAGTGGAGCCCAGATCGACGCAAGGGCTGCACATGCAAAAGTGCTATCCACAAAGATGCTGATGTTTATATGCCGCTGACCACCTTGTTATATACAAATCCAGTCTGATGCCTCTTCACCCCAATTACGCACCTAGTGTGCAACAGCCACCCAAACTCCCTACCCATCTACAACGCCTCGACTGACCTGCCAAGGTCATCCGTGTAAAACAATGATATCATAGCTTCGAAAATCGCATCCTGAGTCCAACACCTCACAGCGCTCACGCCTGCTGGAAGTGGCCGTAGAGATCAGTGACGTGCATATTCTGGCGAGCGAGCAGATCAAGAAACGCTTGCCCCTGCATCATGCTCGGCATAAATCGTGGTGCTGGCGCTTCGATGAGCTGCTTCCGACACATGGGGCAGGTAACTTTGTTCTTGTGTGTTCTGCACGTATCAAACTAGGTCATGTGAGCAAGCATCTGCTATCTCCAAGCGACTACCACTTACCCATTGACCTATGCAGAACTCTCCAAACGTGTGTCCACACGAAAGCTCAATTGCAATTTCTTCCTCTTCTGTAGGCGACACACGTGTAGTGGCATAGTCTTTCTGGCAAATGTCACAAGCCTTGGACGCCTTCTCTGGAAGCGTACTTGGTAGATGGCGCTGGAGACTGTTCTTCAATTGATCAATTTGGCGAGCGGTAGCAATGTTGGGATCGAATTGAGGCGGGTAGCGGCCCGCGATACGCGGCCGTACTTCTCTAGATCGATGCCTCATACGACTCAGCGGCGGCGCACGGGCAGCCGCTTCTTCTGCGTCAGACGACGTGCTGGAATGGGAGAGGTCAACCGAGTATCGTTCAAAGTTACGGCGATTCGACGTGCGCGGAGATACGCTACGGTCTGAGCGGCGGCTTGGAACCTCGTGTGACGGCCACGGACGTTCAGGCAAACCAGAATACAGTGCCTCACCTGGGTGGATTGCTTGTTGAAGTGGTGGTCGAGGATGCTGGAACCGGGCTTCCGGGGGTGCTACTGAACCCCGTGCTTCGGGGAATCGTGTATTGTCAGTAGGCATACTACCTGCCACCGCCCCAGCACTCATTCTCTGATCGTGTCTTCTGTAATCATGGCGATGTCGGGGATTCGAAGGAGGCGCGGCATGTGGTGACCCTAGCAGCGGAAAGTTGTGACTCGGTGCTCCTAAATGATGGCGCAGCTGGTCACCCTGAGAAGTGACGCCGGGGTCGTAGAATGCCTGGCCGGGATAAAGGTGCGGAGGCCCGTTCCAGGTTTGCGATGGTCTTTGAGGGTTTGTGAACTGGTACGAGTGTGCATGAGGAGCATAGTAGTGGTGACGCATTCCAATAGGTGGCAAAGCTGGACATAATTGTGGGTGGCTGCTGGTAGACACATTTGGTGCATCCTGAGCCTGAGACATGGAGGGGCTGCTATTGGACATGTATGGATTTCGATACAACGTTGGCAGTTGTTGTTGGAACGGTGTATGCGCGGCGAGAAGCGGGGCAGTCAGCTCTGCATCTGAGTTTCGAGCGCCTATCCTATCGTGAACCCAGGGACCGGCGCCGTATTCAGACTCAGCCATACGAGCAGTTCCACAGACGTCTTGCACCTTTTTTCACGAGCTGTGTCGTTTCGTAAGCTGTGTCGATCGGTGGCGAGCAAAGGTCTGGAGGGACGCTGATGTTGACGCTATCGTGTATCGATTGCGAACAACTGTCAGAACAACTCGGCCTTAATTGAGGCAGTCGTTGGGCAGAGGGATTCGTGGTAGAAGGCTCGATCAGCGTCATGGGGGCCTTATCTGCGGCTAAGCAAGTACGTGCGGCCCAGCTGAAGCCGTGCTTCACGGACGGAGTAATGCAAAGGTGGAGTGAGCTTGAAGACACAATAGCAGGCTGCAAAAGACAGCAGACCGCAGATGCAAACAGGAGTGTTTGTGGAGGCTGGAAACTGGGCCGTAGGTGAAGATGAGGGGTTATTAGCTCCATGTTACGTTGGCACGCTCGAAGGCGAGCGCCCAGCATGGATCGAAAGGATGGTGGAGACAGATCAGGTGCACTCCGACTTGACTCGCTACGTTAATCTAATATGACCAGTCGTCGGAAGACGGAAAGCGCAGGGCACCTGGTTCCAGGCGTCACGCAGCGACCTAGCTTCCAGACGTACTTGGTCGTTTGCCCTCATAGCTCTAGATCGTCAGTATCGAATGCAGAAGCCCTCATCATCACCCAATAAAGCGGACCCTCAGCCGTACCCAGCGGCGCGATGCAGGCGGAAGTTTGGGTAGGGACAGGCTCTCGGTACGATGTGTGTTTCACTCAACAGGGTGTGCCCGATAATGCCGAAGCTTTTGATCGGTGGCTATGCAGAGATTCCACTAGCCCGACCGGAGCGGCCAAAGCATATATATGCAGAGGGTGAGCCAGAGTCTCGAGCAGACGGCATAGACGCGGCCCTACAAGCGTCCTGCGCGAGGTAATGGGAAAAGTTGGAACAGTGGCTGGCTGGGGCTGTGGGACATGAGCGAGACGCCGCATCAGCGCAGACGAGGCGGCGGAACGCTTGACGTTGCAATGCGGAAGTCATCACGGGCTAACCTTGGAATGCTGAGGCTTTGGCGCCGGAGTGCGGAAGGCGAGCGGCAGGAGAACATGGTGCTGAGCGGCGGTATTCTGAGCTGGCGGTACAAGTAAGCAGAGAATTCATGCCGACCACATTCTTTCATGCTCCAGTTTGCGTTCTTGGAGCCTTCATCCACCCTCGGCTTGGCACCCCGCCAGTCATGTGACAGCGAGTTATGCCGCGGGAGAGACCGGAGGCAATTCCCGCGAGCATGAGGTCAGAGCTCGGAACGGCAGCATTTTGCGTCGCAGCAATTATCCCAATTATCCATCTTCTGTCTTTTGACCTGCGACTTGCGCTCTAGTTCCGCTGCGCACACGATTAGCCAATTCGGCGTCTTCTCCACCCCCTCTCCCCATCCTGTCCCCCGCCAGCAGCTGCTGCTACCATGTTCCGAAGCGCAACGAAGCTCCGCGCCGCCGAGGCCGGAGCATTACGATCACTCGCACATGCAAAGGCCAGCCCCTCCTTCTGCTGTGCCCGCAGCACGCGTGCCCTCTCCACCACTCCCCGTACCCCGCTGAAGACGCAGAGCCTCTTCCAGCGCCGCCAGTTCAGCGTCACCAGCACCATGGCCAACACGCGCACCGAAAGCGATGCCTTTGGCGAGATCCAGGTCCCGTCGGACAAGTACTGGGGCGCCCAGACAGAGCGCTCGCTCGAGAACTTCAAGATCAACCAGCCCCAGGACCGCATGCCGCCGCCCATTGTGCGCGCCTTCGGCATCCTCAAGGGCGCCGCTGCCACGGTCAACATGAAGTTTGGGCTGGACCCCAAGCTCGGCCAGGCTATCCAGCAGGCCGCTGAGGAGGTGGCCTCGCTGAAGCTCATCGACCACTTCCCCCTCGTTGTCTGGCAGACGGGCTCCGGCACCCAGTCCAACATGAACGCGAACGAAGTCATCTCCAACCGCGCCATTGAGATCCTCGGCGGCACCATGGGCTCCAAGAAGCCAGTCCACCCCAACGACCACGTCAACATGTCCGCCTCGTCCAACGACACCTTCCCCACCGTCATGCACATCGCCGCCGTTCTCGACTTCGAGGAGTCGCTCCTGCCTGCCCTCGCCAGCCTAAGGGACGCGCTGAAGAAGAAGGCCGACCAGTGGGAGAGCCTGATCAAGATTGGCAGGACACACTTGCAGGATGCCACGCCCCTGACCCTCGGCCAGGAGTTCTCTGGCTACGTCCAGCAGCTCGACTTTGGCATTGAGCGGATAAAGACCTGTCTCCCGCGCCTCAAGATGCTGGCCCAGGGTGGAACAGCCGTCGGAACTGGCATCAACACGTTCAAGGGTTTCGCAGAGGACATTGCTTCGGAAGTCAGCAAGATGACCGGCAAGGACTTCGTCACCGCACCCAACAAGTTCGAAGCGCTCGCTGCCCACGACGCCATCGTCGAGGCCCACGGCCAGCTCAACACCCTCGCAACCTCGCTGTTCAAGATCGCCCAAGACATCCGTTTCCTCGGCTCTGGCCCGCGATGCGGTCTCGGTGAGCTGAAGCTGCCCGAGAACGAGCCCGGTTCCTCCATCATGCCCGGAAAGGTCAACCCCACACAGTGCGAGTCCCTCACCATGGTCTGCGCCCAGGTCTTCGGTAACCAGGCCGCTACCACCTTCGCTGGATCCCAGGGTAACTTCGAGCTCAACGTCTTCAAGCCCGTCATGATCCGCAATCTGCTCCACAGCTCGCGTCTGCTCGCCGACGGCATGAGGAGTTTCGAGAAGAACCTCGTTGCTGGTCTTGAGGCGGATGAGAAGCGCATCAGCTCTATCATGAGCGAGAGGTGAGTTACTCTCCCTTGACAATTGATTCATCGCATAGCTAACTTAACACAGTCTGATGCTCGTCACCTGCCTCAACCCCGTCATCGGCTACGACGCCGCCAGCAAGACCGCCAAATACGCTCACAAGAATAACCTTACGCTCAAGGAGGCTGCGCTCAAGCTCGAGGTCATCAGCGAATCGGACTTTGACAAGTACGTCAGGCCCGAACTTATGGTCAATCCTTCCGAATACAAGCCCAAGAACTAGGCGCCGTTGTGGGAAGTAAATAGTAAAAATGTAAAATACAATACAATACAGCATACGTTAGCGCGACGATGAGCCAGGCGTCACTCATCCTATCACGTCACCATCGTCCTTATGACACTGATATCGTTATTGTAATGCCAGTGCATTTCACTCAGATTCTAGGATCTCAGTAATCTGTGCATTTATATCCTTGGTATCATCCTCGCCTATTGCAACTGCCGTCCATTCAGTGATCGCACATCGTGATGACCTTAGGATGACCATTCCATTTACATTCCCGGTTCTGGCCTTTGCTGCATGGCGCCCATGGCGATTGATAAGGCACGTTAATTTCAATGTTGTTGTTGCGCCTGGTGCTGTGCTTGTTGCTGAGCCTGTTGCTGAGCCTGTTGCTGAGCCTGTTGCTGCACTTGTTGCTGCCATTGCTGCTGCGTTGAATGCTGACCCTGCTGTTGCGCCGGTCTATCAATTCGTTGTCGCTTCTCGGGCACTTGTCGAAAGAATGTAGGCTGTCCAGGTGCGGTGAGGTCAATGGTATCGGCAACTGGCTGGGTTCCTTGTCGAGCATCAGACGCAGCGTCTTGTGCAAGTACCAGAGCGTGCTGCATGTGCATGGCCTGTTGAAACGCCACAGGAGTGGAGGATGTGTTTGGTGACCAGGTACCATGCGTCAGCCTGGGATGTGTCAGATTCGTCGCGGGTGGTGATGGATACGCTGACTGTGGTGCCGGTCCTCGAGCAGGCGGTGCGCTTTCTGCGTCTTGAAGTAGGTGCTAATCCGACTTATTAGTTTTTGATCATAAACAGACATCATGGAGATGATATGGTAGGTACTCACGGGGAATACGTTGTCCTTGACAACCTTGGTGAGAGCGGTCTCTATGTTTTTTAAGTGGCCACCCCATCGCTCGTTCAGCACCCCAACATTATACGCCATCCCCTGGTTGACCTCGTTCCGGTGGTCATGAATAGTCGTCTGGAGGGAGGCCGCAAGGTAATCCCTTGTTGCAGCTAACTGCTCGTGGGTAACACACTTGGCGGTCATGTCTGTATGGTCATTGCGCATCTTGCCGTAGTTCTCTTCCAACACGCAGACCCTATTGTCAAGTTTGCGAGATGCAGGGGTACCGCGGTGCTTTTCCAATGCGACAAGTCGGTCTTTGCAATTACTTAATGAGGCAAGTTCATTCTTCAACTGTAAATAGACTGCGTCGACCTTATTCTGAGGATCGTCGAGAGCGGCGGTAGCTGTTGCGGTAGTCGGAAGGGTCAATGTCGGCATTTGAACAGAGTGGAGAGCCACTTCCGACGCGCCCAGGCGAGCATCTAGGGAATCGAGTCTGGTCGTTATGGCCTGAGAAGCTTGCAGTGCCGCATCACGTGATTCCACAGCATTCTCAAGCTCTTCGACGCGGTGTTTCATGCCTTCCAGGAGCTGTGGTTCTACCATCGCATTTCCGAGCTCTTCCATACGCTGAGAATTACGGTCCAGAACCAGAGCGGTCTTTTCGAACGCTTCCGTATGCTCGCGGGACTGTGCTTGCACGGTATCGACAGCGGTGGAGAGGTGATCTGTCAGAGTAGCGATCTTTTCCGCCGTCTCATTTCTGAGGAGTCCTAGACCATTCATATAGGCGGTTTGGTTGTGACGCAAGCATTCTTGGGTATGAACCACTGCTGTCTCGAAGCGATCTTCTAGGTCCTCTCTGAGATCGACAATGCTCTGGATGTAGGTATTGCCAGACCGTTCCAGCGACTCGATAAGCTGCTTGGATTCTAACACGAGTCGATCTGTCCTTTGGAAATTTGCGGTAGTGATAGTCTTCTGGGCACAGAACTGGTTGAAGAGATCATGTGACTTTTGATCAATTCGGGTGATTGACTGTTGCGAATTATTGATCGTAGTCTCTAGTCGCTGGTTTCGATCCCTCTCAGCGTCCAGTTCGTTTCGTAGCTGCTGATTCTGCGCCTTCTGAGTATCAATATCGCCTTGCAGTCCTTTTTTGTCCGCTTCGGATTTTGTCTTGACGTCTTCGATAAGCTGTTTGAGATGCGTCATTTGCGCTTCCATGCCGTCCACCCGGCCGTTCAGTAACTTGACTTTGTCATAGACGAATTTGAAACATTTCCTCAAGTGCCCAGTGACGTGTTCAGTGTCCATCCATGGATAGACGGTGGAAGCAGGTTTGTTCCGAGTCTGCTCCATGATGTCGACTTTCATCATCGCAAAGTCCACGGTCCTCGAGAGTTGCTTCCTGTAAATATTGACGCTTCTCTGTAACAATAATTCGAGCTTTCGCTTGCTGAGTGCCGGGATGTCTGGAATAACTGGTTGGGAAAATGCGAAACTTTTACCAGTCACGCGTGGATCACAGTAAGAAGCCGTATCTTTACGGAAGAAGACGTAATGCATAGGGCCATGGTCGACCCTCTCCACGGTAGCGATTCTCCACTCTCCCGTACATGTATCAAACGTACCATGGAATGAATCCCTGCTTCCAAGCAAGAGCGTCCAATCATACAATGCAATCTCTATCGTTGCCACCCAGGTTGGAACGCTGGAAACGACAGCTCGACTTCTACTGTTCACCGCCACAAGCGAGCTGCAAAAGGGCGTTCGACATATCCAGAATAGGCACCGATAGCGAGAGCACTACAGCCGCAGCGACAATACCATTAGGTATATGGTTGGAGAGCGAGCAAACTGTGACGTATCGGGCTGGAACTTTAGAGCCTGGTGGCGCTATCTGGGACTGTTTGCTTCATGACGGCGGAAATCTGCTCGCCAACAGAAAAGAAGGGCCTCAGGCACAAACGTTAGGCCGGGGAGGTCGTTCTCGTTTCCGTCCACCCAATCGCGAAATGCAGATGGAGGGCATGGACGCTGTTTTCCTTCCGGTGGGGTCGTGGGTAGAGACACCATTAGGCTGTACAGCTGCTGGCGCGTATGGTCCCGAAAAGATAGGGAACTTGCTTTGACAGCCTGTCAACGTGGCCCCGTTGTAGCTAGGGCGTTCTTGGTGTTGCACGAAAGAGAAGACGGACGCGACAAAGATGGAGGCGAGGCGAGCACGACGCGGTCCGATGCGGCGCTACTGGCACGCTAAGAAGAGCTAGCTTCGGCAGTCAGTTCGCGTGCATCTCCCCCGCCACTATCATGCCACCCACATGCTTTCATTCAGCCCGCTACACGCATGCTTGACTGTATGGCCCTACTGCAGCTATACCAAAGGTCCTCGCTTTCCCTTGTTTGTCAGCCCCCAGTCCTGCCGCTGTGGCGTTGCTGCGCCATGTCGCATGGCTTGCCGCTGCCTCGCCGGCTCAGAACGCCTGCCAATACCGTGCGTGGAAGCCGCTGGGCCATTACATGAATACGATGTGTCTCATTCATACATGCGCCGCTGATCTTCTCCAAGACTGTCTAATGAGCTCCCGTTATCGTTATGGCGCGATCTGGGCTTCCCGCTGCTGGCTGCGTATTGTCAGAGCGCCTTCTCGTTCAGGAAGCAGCCTTGTGAGAGAGAAACCTCGCATCTGCGGGATTGTACCCGGCTATAAGTAAGTGTGTTATACACACTCGTATGTCGATGAACTGGATCTAATGCACGCGGAATGCAGTACATGCAGACCCGGATGTTCGGCAGGTCCATCATCGCAAATCATTTAGTTCCCAAAAACATTACCTGGGTTGAACTATACGTCTTAAAACATGTGTTTCACACCACCCCATTCAAGCAAGAAAAAGAATTTCTCGGAGTCTACGTTGACGTCGGGTCGCATATTGCGCATCTTTACGTTAATGTAGGCTCCAGGGTGTTCGGTTACCTCCTTGAATAAGGTGACACGACGGACTTCTGCATTGAAAGATGCTACGCTTAGACGGCTAAGGACTGGAAGGTCCCTGTCTTAAAGCTATGTCGCAGCAGCTTTTGATGTGGTACGGCATGACTCAATGTGTCTATAGAGCTTGCGAACAGCCAACCCTGCGAACCGGGAGTGAAGACCTCGCGGCGCCTATGAACGCTCAGGCGGTACATTACAAGACATTTTAGACCGATCATGGACTCATCCGTCACGTTTGGAAGACGTACCAATCGTAGCTACGTCATGGCTCTCAGCGATGCAGCTGAGTAATGGCTTGCGAACAATCCGCCTTCACTGCTTGAGCGAGCGACAGTCGTGACCAGGACAAGACAGTGCTTAGGGGTTTCATTCTCACGTGCAAATGCCAACAATGGTATGCGGCCCGCTTCCTGAAAGCGGTATACGTGCTGGACCCTGATGCCTGCCGACCTGGCTTCTAGAAGGCGCAGCGTAGGCTTATTTCGCGAACCGCCGTAGCTATGATTACTATGCGATACAAACAGAAAACTTGAACGTAGACGGGAACCTACCCAGAGCACCGAGCAATCCTCGTCGGATCAACGTGGTGGCTGTTACTTGTCTGCAAGTTGTATCCTGTCCGTGGCTCTTTGCGCGGTTGATGAATTTCTTGTCTTCTCCAACGGACACTGCCCTGGAATGATACTTACCCCACAGATCAAGCATGTTGGGAATCATGCGATTGAGGATTCATAGTGCTCATGGATTCACCGACGCTTGCCCATGACCGGCCGTAGTCTCCGGCATTGGCCGCTCGTACGAGTCCATTGCTGTGCAAACAGGCGATCTCAGGTCAACCGAGAATTCGGTCTTTGGATTCACAGGCATTACCATGCTAGGAACCTCGTAGTCCCCACAGATTCTCCATGGGGGTGGGACCTTGAGCTCAAAACTCGCGCAATTGAAGGCATAGCGATCATGGACAACGATCGGAGTCGGTAGCGGGCTTACTACCCTCCTTCGACTCTTATTTCGATGGCCATCAGTGCCAAGTGAGATTGGAGATAGCACTCCTGCATAATTCCGCGTCATTCCCATTCGCTTCATGTGCATCGCGTACACGAGGTCTACCGACGTTGTCATTCCACTTTTCAGCCTCGCTAACGTGCTTGAGGGAGTACTTCCGCAAAACTTGCACCGCGCAGCTCTTCTATCCACTGTTGTACGGCAAGATCACCTAAACAAGCTACAGCTGTTTCCTAGCTTTCGAATTTCGCATCAATAGCAGGTCTCCATAGCAGGACGTTTCAGGCTAGAGAGGGCTGCGCGGCTCTGCTCGGACCCCGGCCTCCTCCTACCCCAGAGACCCGCCAATCAAGACCCATCAACATGACAAGCACCCTTGAAAGCTTGTCGCGGGGCCCCGTGGGTTGAAGTGGGTTGATGATAGCAGAGCGTACCCACGCCGAGGTCGAATCTAGAGGGCATAAAGTATATAAGCTCTCCAAGCTCACCATGTCTGCTTGGCCTTTGGCATCGGCTTTTGCTTATTCGTTCTTCGCTCTTCGTGGCGTCCAATCAGCTTATACACTAACTCGAAATGGCGGGCTTTGCCGAAACCAAGCGAGACGGTACCCCTGCGGTCGACGATGGAGTCCTGGAGAAGAGCCTCAGTCGTCAGGCCGAGATCTTCGAGGACAAGGAGCTCATGACAGATGCTCAGGCAGCTGAAAGCCGCGAACATGATATGGGAATGTGGGAGGCCATGAGGGACCACCCCATGGCTTGCTTTTGGGCTTTCATCTTCTGCTTTACTATCGTAAGTCTTTGACCCCTGATAGCATCTCCAAGAAGATGTCGCTGACACCCAATAGGTCATGGAGTCTTTCGACATGTTCTTGAACGGTAACTTTGTTGCTCTTGCCGCTTTCAAAGAACGTTACGGTGTTCAGGTCGCTGGCGAGGTTGGCAAAACCATTCCTACCAAGTGGCAGAGTTCACTCTTCCAAGCTGGTCAATGCGGCGCCTTCATTGGAGTCTTCCTCGCAGGTCCCATCACCAACCGTCTTGGTTACCGCTGGACTACTCTGCTGGCACTCATGCTGATGAATGCGACCATCTTCATTTCCTTCTTCGTGCGTATCCTACTTCCTGATCTAGAATCTGGGACTGACAGTACCCAGGCCGATTCACTCGCGGTTCTCGTCATCGGGCAAGCTTTCGAAGGTATTCCATGGGGTATGTTCATCGCCAACTCGCCGGCCTACGCCAGTGAGGTCGTTCCGCTCGTTCTTCGTGGTGCTTGCACAGCGACTCTCCAGATGTCTTGGTCCATTGGTAGCATCATCGTCGCAGCCGCCACGTACAGCTATAACAAGCGAAACGACGAGTGGGCATGGCGAGGTCCACTAGCCCTGCAATGGGTCTTTCCTGCAAGTTTGTCCTTGTTGAGAATGAAGTCTCCAAGCTAATCGATCCAGACCCCTCTTATGGTTCTCATCTTCTTCGCACCCGAGTCCCCATGGTGGCTAGTGCGCAGAGGGCGAAAGGAACAGGCGCTGAGGTCCATCAAGCGCCTTGGTCGTAGAAACGGAACTCAAGCAGCCGCCGAAGACACGCTTGCCATGATGGAGCGCACAGTGCAGATCGAAGCTCACAAGGGCGGCGAGCCTTCTCTCCTTGATCTCGTCAAGGGAGTCGACCTCCGCCGGACACTCATTACTTGCTTGATCTACGCGTCTCAGAACTTCGCTGGCAATCTGATCGCCAACCAAGCAACATTCTTCTTCGAGCGTAAGTCAAGAATCGCCACAGCTCTTAGGGATGCAAAGCTGACTATTCGCAGAGGCTGGAATGTCATCTGACTTCTCTTTCAAGCTGAACTTGATCAACTCGTGCCTGCAGCTGGTAGCCAACATCTGCGCTTGGCCTCTGAGCAACTTTTTCGGCCGACGCACAATTTATCTTGGGGGCACTGCCATCAATATCTGCCTGCTCTTCATCCTTGGAATCTGCGCTTCCATCCCTCAGAGCAGCGCGACCAACTACGCCCAAGCTTGTTTGGGCATCGTCATCTCGTTCGTCTTCGCAGGAGCCATGGGTCCGATCTCATACTCCATCATCGCCGAAACGTCCTCCGTCCGCCTCCGCGCGCTAAGCACTGGTGTTGGCCGAGCCGCATACTACGTCGCCGAGATTCCTATGATCTACCTAGCCTCGCAGATGCTCAATCCTACCGGCTGGAATATGGCTGGTAAGTGTGGATACGTGTGGGGCGGTACAGCTTGCGTCTGCTTCATCAGCGCATACTTCGGCCTCCCTGAGCTCAAGGGCCGCTCATACCGTGAGCTTGACATTCTGTTCAACCGGAAGATCTCCGCGCGCAAGTTCAAGTCCACCGTCATCGACGTCAGGGACAACGAGTAGATCATGAGCGTACGACGTGTTTATGGGTTGCACCCCATTCATGGGAAAAGGTGAACACCCTAGAGCCTACCTTAACGCTACGCCTCCATTTTTGCTCATCGTTAGTTTAGAGTTGGTTCCAGGCCTGTTCAGTTTTGATCTGTATGAGGTGGTTGTGTACTATCCGGTATTGTGGAGAAGATCGTGTCGGGGTGGAAGGGTGAGCACACTGCACAGCCCTGGAGATGCGTAGACGCGCTTTTCTTCTAGCTAGCGCGTCAAGGGTCAGTGCTTGCACTAGTGTAGGGAAGCTACTCCTGAGGCAACGCGACGGCATCTTCTAATCACATCCAATGTTCATCTGGACACACGTGTATCGCATGTTTACTGATCGCGGTCGTGGCGCTGTATACTCGAGAGACAGTCTTTTTACCTACCACCAAACGCTTCGCGCAAAGTAGACGCGGGTAAACAGCTCGGCTGCATTACCCCGAGCCTCCTGACGCCGCCACCCACGAGTTCCTCTTCGTCAGCATGTACATACCATCTCACAACAAAAACTTGGGTATCCGATGTTCGACTTCTCATCAATAGACGCCTCTGATTGATGCATCGATGCGGAGCCCGAAGACGCAGTGTCGACCGGTCCATGCCGGGAATGAGGATTGAACGAACTTGATTGGGATCAACCGCCGTTCCCAAGTTCTTCAACCCAGGTCATGATCACGCAAAACTTCCCATTCTTCTCCCGATTTCCTGTTCAACACCTTGACCGAGCGGAAACAATGCAAGATGTCCGTGATGCTAACCTATCTACGCAATGCGCCCGCCGCCGATGCGAAGTCGACAACGTTTACCCGGGCCTCGGCGCACCCTAGCCCAGCGTCCGAGCATGGGCATCCCAATTCCACCATTGAGACGACCTTGACATCCCCGCAATCCACAATGCATTCCATCATAGCGCGGCATTAGTGTCTTGTGCGCAATTCGGGGTAGACTGGGGCTTGGTACCTGCGTAGTGCTCTTATACCCTCAGCATGTCCGATACAACGGCGACAGCGCTCATTGGCCTCGACATCTTCATCCTGCATCCATCATGAAGACTCTCGTAGGGCTCTCGTGGCTCTCAGCTCTGTCTTCGTTGGCAACTCTACCCAATGGATCTGGTGTCAATGCTCAAAACAACACACCCAGTGCATGGCCTCTACACGACAACGGCCTGAACGATGTCGTACAATGGGACCATTACTCCTTCAAGGTCAATGGAAAGCGCCTATTCGTATTTAGTGGAGAGATTCACTACTGGCGCATTCCAGTCTACGAGGTCTGGGAAGATCTATTGGAGAAGATCAAGGCGGCGGGTAAATTCATCAACTAGCCACGTACTATGAGCCGATGCTGACGACGAACAGGATTCACGGCGTTCGCATTCTACGGCAACTGGGCTTACCACAGTGCTAACAACCAGACGTTGGACTTCGAGAGCGGCGCTCATGACTTCACGAAGCTCTTTGAGATTGCGGAACGCGTCGGTCTGTATGTCATCACAAGGCCGGGACCGTATGTAAACGCTGAAGCCAATGCCGGAGGCTTTCCACTGTGGCTCACGACAGGAGCCTACGGTAAGCTAAGAGACGACGACCCAAGATATCTCCAGGCTTTGGACCCCTACTTCGCCAAGTTCTCCGAACTCACCTCCAAGCATCTGGTGACCAAGGGTGGCAACGCACTGGTCTACCAGATCGAAAATGAGTACGGCGAGCAATGGAACGACCGTGATGAGAAGATCCCCAACGATGCTGCCGGACGATACATGCAGGCGCTGGAAGACTCCGCACGAGCTAATGGCATTGATGTCCCTCTCATCCACAACGACCCGAACATGAACACCAAGAGCTGGAGTAAAGACTATGCACCTGGCGCTGTCGGCAACGTCGATGTTGCTGGCTTGGACAGTTACCCGTCGTGCTGGTCATGCAACCTGGATGAGTGCACTGGTACTAACGGAGAATACGTAGCCTACCAGGTCATCGACTACTACGACCATTTCGTGGAGGTATCCCCTACCCAGCCGAGCTTCTTCCCCGAGTTCCAGGGTGGCTCTTACAACCCATGGGGTGGACCTGAGGGAGGCTGCCCTGCTGATATCGGAGCAGACTTCGCCAACTTGTTCTACCGCAACCTCATCTCGCAGCGCGTGACAGCCGTGTCGCTGTACATGATGTTCGGAGGTACCAACTGGGGTGCTTTGGCTGCTCCGGTCACCGCTACATCCTACGACTACAGCAGTCCTATCAGCGAGAACCGCGAGATCGGCGCCAAGTTCTACGAGACCAAAAACTTGGCTATGTTCACCCGTGTTGCTGATGATCTTACCGTCACCAACCGTCTCGGCAACTCAAGCTCATACTCCACAAATCCGGCGGTTGAGGCTAGCGAGCTCCGCAACCCCCTCACCAACGCTGCCTTCTACGTCACGATTCACTCCACGTCTTCGTCTGCCACCAAGGAGTCGTTCAAGCTCCATGTTAGCACTTCCGTCGGAAACCTGACTATTCCTCAGCATGCCGGTTCGGTTGTTCTCGACGGTCATCAGTCCAAGATCTTGGTCGCCGACTTCGCCATGGGCAACAACACTTTGACCTACTCTACTGCTGAGGTTCTCACATACGCCATGGTCGACCACAAGCCAGTCGTAGTGCTGTCGACTGGTGTCGGAGAGTCTGTTGAATTCCACGTCAAGGGTGCTACAAAGGGCTCTCTAGTCAGTAGCGGAACCAGCTCGAACGCAACTTTCCATGCCGAAGCTCACGGTCTTACGACCAACATCCAGAAGGCTTCCGGCATGAACGTGTATCAGTTTGACAACGGTGTAAAGGTTGTTGTCGCTGACAAGCCCACTGCATACCTCTTCTGGGCCCCTAATCTCTCAAACGATCCCTTCGCACCGGTCGATCAATCCGTGCTAGTCCAGGGCCCGTACCTCGTCCGCAGTGTATCTCTGGATGCTGATTGTCTCGCTCTCAAGGGTGACATCATGAACAGCACTGACATCGAAGTATTTGCCACTGGCAGTGCGAAGACGCTTTCTTGGAACGGAAAAGAGCTGGCCACCTCACGCACATCGTATGGTAGTTTGAAGGCGCACGTCGCTGCGTTCAACGGTACCATCAGCCTCCCCTCCCTGGACAACTGGAAGATGAACGAAGGACTCCCAGAGAAGATGCCTGAGTACGATGACAGCGGTGCCGCATGGGTTGTCGCTGATCACACTACCACCCCCAACCCTACCAAGCCCGACACCCTGCCTGTTCTCTACGTTGACGAGTACGGCTTCCACAACAGCTTCCATCTCTTCCGCGGCTACTTCGAAGGTGCGGCCACTGGCGTGCAGCTTTCCGTTCAGGGTGGTCTTGCCTTCGGCTGGAGTGCATGGTTGAACGGTGAGTTGGTCGGATCGTGGTTGGGCAACACTACCCTAGGCGTTGGCAACATGACACTGTCCTTCGCCAACGCCACTCTTCACGAGAACAGCACCAACGTGTTGCTTGTCGCACAGGACAACACCGGTCACGATCTGCGCGGAGATGCTACCGACCCCCGCGGTATCCTCCGTGCCACTCTCGAAGGCGCAGAGTTCACATCCTGGAAGATCGCCGGTGAAGCCGGTGGCGAAGATGCGTTACTTGACCCTGTACGCGGTCCTCTTGCTGAAGGTGGTCTCACAGCCGAGCGTCTCGGATGGCATCTCCCCGGTTTCGACGATTCTGAATGGGCATCTGGCTCACCATCCACTGGCTTCGAAGGCGCAGACATCAAGTTCTACCGCACGACCATCCCTCTTGACGTACCCGCTGAAGTCGATGCTTCTTTCGCTTTCGTCCTCAATGCCGTCGGCTCGAAGACCATCCGTGCGCAGCTCTTCGTCAATGGTTACCAATACGCGCGCTTCAACCCGTACGTCGGCAACGAAGTCAAGTTCCCCGTCCCACCGGGTATTCTCAACTACTCTGGCGACAATGTGATTGGTTTGAGTGTGTGGGCGCAGTCAGAGGAGGGCGCACAGGTTGATGTGCAGCTTGTGCAAGAGTATGCTATTGAGAGTAGCTGGAGCTCGAATTTTGACTCTGAGTACTTGAGGCCAGGATGGACGGAAGAGAGGCTAGCTTATGCTTGAGGGCTTTCCGCAAGTTCTTAATGCATGAACCATGCGACACCTCGGGTTTCTTCATTTCTATGACAGTAGTTCTAATAAAACTGTTGGCCTTGTTTCAATCCGCTCCTGACAAACAGAAAGTGGGTAAACTTTCGACACGCAGCTTCTTTGGAGCGTGACTAGGGAATAGAGTGGTACAGTTACGCTCAAATTGATGAGCTTTCCTGAAGCACATGCCCTTCACACTTTCTGGTGTTTTTTGGTTCATTCTCACTGCGATCATCGCCAATATCCTTTCTATGTAAAATGCAGAACCAATAACTACAGATGACTCACAGTTTATGTTACGATCTAAGCGTTCTTTCTGAGTTCTAGTGTTCTTGAGGCGAATTTGGATGGAATTCTGGGCAGTATGCACAAGTCGAGCCGAACAAAATTGATACACTCCATAGCGGCTTTCCTTTTCCGTACGAGCGCATCCTCAATGCTGAGATTCGCAGCATACCTCCTTCCATATAAAATTCACAACAGTCACTGAAGCGGTGACGTCGATGGTGGCCGGACTGACCCTGTGTCGATGCCTCAAATACCTTGCGTTTTATCTCTACTGCCCCTACCCACTCAAACGCACGCTCACTGGACATCTCAATCCACAGGCGACCTTTGTGCAGACCCAAGAACAGTATTGCCATTTGATCTGAGGTTTCGACATGCTCGCGGAGACTGAACATGACACAAACAAATTCACCGTCCTCGAGAACGAGATCCCTAAACAAGGCCAGCTTGTGCTTCGGGTCTAAGAGGGGGTAAAAGGAGGTAGTAGCAGAGCGACTCCCCGTCGACATTTCGTGGATTGTGGACGATTTCGGAGTACAACGTAGTTTCATTGTCCATAGGTTCTTTGGCTGTTGTAACTGACTCTGATTATATGCTTCGATGTGCATCGTTGTTGGTGTGGCTTCCTTGATATCATGTTCAGTCACACTCGCCCGTGGGGTTGCTAGTCTTCGATATACCCCGGAATCGAGGCGTTCTAGCCATAGTCCAACATGCTTTCCAACTGATGCCGTGCAATCTAAGATAGCAATGACTCGACTGTGGTCGACGAATATGCAAGGAAAGGTAATTCTGAGGCCATGGTTTGTAATCTCGTGCGTCGTGAGCTCCTCTCTCACCCGTCCAACAGTACGTTGCAAGTCTGCAGTGTTCATGAAAGGCGCGGGGGAAGGCGCGAATATGCTCGTGTGCTGCCACGTGTCGGAGGTCTCCCAGGCAAATATTGTGTGCTCATTGGTCTGTTTGATGATCTCGAGTTGCAAACGGTAGAACGCACCGGCACCTTCTCCGTACAACATAGGCATGTTCACTTGAACGAGACCAAGTAAACAGTACGCCATGTCTTCCTCACGTGTTGTTGTCCTGCAGGCGGCCCAGCTCAACTTGGCGGCTACAGTAGCTTGCTTGATAGCCTCCCGATCAACCAAATACTGCGTTTCGATCTTCGTCGCGTCGTGAACAGTATCCAAGAGACTTGATTTGGTGCCTCTAAATTGCCAGTCTGAGTCGAAAAATTCGATGACATCTGGTGCGAGGAGCTCTTGAAGTGTCCAGCCCCTCTTGAACCATCGTGATGACTGGAAGTTCTCCTCTGTCGATGACCAATCCGAGATATACGCGTAGCAAACAGCCGCATCCCAATACCATCTGTACATCGAATTGATCGCCTCTGACAGTTCAGCACTGCTCCTCTTGTCAATACAGCATGTGTCAACCCAGGCCCACTCGAAACCGGCTAGTACAGCCCGAGCGCAGCATTGCCAAATCTTTGTGTACCCTGCCATCTCTTTTGCGTAAGGCTGAGCGATATCGTCAAAGCCAACTTCTCCATCGCCCCACGTATGGGAGAGAATGACATAATCGGGTATATCGGTGATGAAATGACGCAACTTGAGAGTCGCAGTATCGAGCAACCACATTGTGTACGGGGTTGAGTGTTGGGAGCAGCATGGCGAGGGAAGGCTGAGATGATAGCCAGATCGAGGAGGCGAATCACCCCCATGCCCCGCTTTCAGCTGCCAAGTTAATCTGTGCGATGCCACAAACAGAAGAGACACAGCCACAACGAACTCATCAATAACCACACATCTCTACAGACAAGCTGAGCATCCCTCGTCAAACGGCCCATCAATACCCCTTATCTCCTTCACCGCAATCCCCAAAACCACGTCCCCCTTCCTCTCCTCCTGCGCACCCTCATCCTCCACATGCCCACCCCCCACAAACCTAACCCCATGCGCCCTACAAGCCCCCTCTAACTTCTCCAGCCCCAGCACCAAATTCCTCACAAAGCAAGTATGCAACGCCAACTGCTTCGCCTCCTGCAGCCGAAAAACCTTGAGTACCCTCCTGGTACCAAAGCCCGGTAAATCCATCTCAGCTAGCACATCCGCGTTGTCTACGAAAGGCTGGCCAATGATCGCTCTACCCTTTTCCTCTAGGCAGTCGCGCAGTGCGAGGAGATGTTCTCGGCCGGGAGGTGGTTCCGGGATCGCGTCCTAGGTGAAAGCGGATGGGTTGTTGGGAGGGATGGGATAGGGTGAGGCGATGTAGGGGAGGACGGCTTCCCAGCGGGTGATGATTGCTTGGAGGGTTTCGATGAGCCAGGTTGTGTGGGGTGTTACTTCGGGGGAGGTGGTGAGGGCGCGGTGGGCTTTAAGCCAGTCGAGTTTGCGGATTTGGGAGTGGTAGGCGTCGTAGCCTTTGTAGACTGCTTTTGTTTTCTTTAGTGTGGGTCGAAGGTAACTGCAGGGTGGACGGCTCACCTTCACTGTAGCAGTCGTACGGCGTGGGTGACCTGTCGTCTGTTAAGATCTCGTTGCTTTGCGTCGAGTTGTTTGTTGTTGGCTGTTTTAGGTCATCACAGCCGGGTAGTGGCGGTAGTAGGTAGTCGGCGCGATTCATGGAATGATCGGTGAGGTTGGAATGTCGTAATGCGCGAGTAGACGCATGATGCAATGAAGCTTTGAGCATGAGATCGATGTTGAGGAATAGGTTGTCGTACGAGGTTATGTGGTAGCTTCCCACTGCCCAGAAGCGATGATCGGGATCGAAACGACCCACCGAGAGAACGGAAGGAACGACCGGCACCGAATTTCACTTGTCAAGTGAGAACAAGACGCAGCGCTGCAATGAACTTTTCAGACTTTATCGATTTTTTGCAAAGACTCGCGGCATGATACAAGAGACTTGCTTATTGCTTTACAATCGTTACCATCGTTCCAAACCAAGACACGATGCAACATGAAAACGTGGTACTAACACAAAACCTGGCCCTTGCACCAAGAGAGCGAGGTAATGACGAAATGTGAAAAAGTAGGGAGAGAGACCGTTACGCCGTCGCTGAATGTTCATATCGGAAACATGGGACTCATCAATCGAGCGAGTCACTAGAAACCGCTCCGTCATCTGAGTGGTAATCAGATCACTCGTCCTTGGTGATCGCTCTTGGGGTCGACAGTGGACGACCGGCGAGAATGGCTTCGCGGTCTTGTCGCATGCCCTCCAGTACCCCGACGAGGCCGCCTTCCCGCATACGCTCCAGAACGACTTTCATGCCTTCACGCGCATTCGGCTGACTTCGCTGCGCACGGGACAGACCAATCTTCTCGATGTTTCGCTGGAGAGCCGCAGTGCCCCAACTCCGCAGGAAGCCCATCTTTTGTGGCTGTTCCTCATCCGCAGCGTCCTCCCTTGCAGCCGCGCGCTTCTTCTTCCATGTCTCCCCGATGTGACTGTGTAGTGTGACAGAGCTCACGACGTCGGTAGTCTCACCCGAGTCCTCGACCCTGGCACCTGCACCCTTGGCGCCAAAGCTGATGAAGCCCTGGCGCTGCGTGGCACCGTCCATGGCTTGCCGCATCTTCACGTCTTCGGGCACCAACGGCGAAGGACGTATGAACTTCTGCCTCTCTACGACAGACAACACACCTGTCCATTCCAGATTCCGTGACTCCGTGTCCATCCATCCCTCTTTGATATCTACGACCGACTTCTCGAGAATGTAAGTCTGCGATTCTCCGCTGGCTGAGGTGCCAAGAAGAGACCGCGGTACGAGCTTCAGAACGGCAGAAGGAACTTTGGAGCGCTTTAGGTGGAGGCGGATAGTCGTCAGGCGTTGGGTCTCCGGGTCGTAGTTGCGGGCGATGGTGTCGGTGGAGATCACATGAGTGGAGTAAGGGTTCGGATAACGGAGGAAGTAGGCGAGCGAGACGGCGGGGAACGGGTACGAGTACGTCTCGTTGGAGGAGTAGAACTTGACCATGGTGACGTCGTCGCGGTCGAATCGGAGTCTGTAGGCGTGGGTGGGCGGTAGAGGGCGGGAGATATAAAATGGTATAGGTAGGAGCTCAAGGCAGCCTGGAACGCGCGGTCATCTATCTCCGGTGATGAAGTCGCATGGTCAAGCGCATCCAGCTGTGACAATCGGACAGGCTGTTTAGTCGCGCTGGAGAGGGGTAGGGCGAGTTGTCGGGCTGGGTGGTGTGAGGACCAGGGATAGAAACGTCTGGAGCTCTCGCCATCCTGGCGCCATGACGAGATTTGCTGACCTGCATCGGCTTTCCCTCCCGTAACGCCGCTGTGGCTGGGGCGTGGCGCAGAGTGTGGCGCAGTGCGGGGCAGGTCTAGCCACAGGAACGCCAAATTGAGGTGGGGTCAAACATCGCCGAATATCCAGTGACTCAGCTCCAACACCAAAGAATCGCGCCACGTAATTCCCTAGGCTGGAGTCACTCCTTCATTCACAGCCCGACACACAAGCCATCCTCCAACACAGCCAGCACCATGACCGAGCCCGAGCCACCCGCCGTCGCCGCCCTCTCACTCTCCGACACAGCGACGCAATCAGTCTCAAAAGCGACCGAGCAGGAGATTAACCCTTGGGATGTACAAGCGGGAGTAGATGAGGAAGGAAACGTCAAGCAATTCGACTATGTCGCCATCTCGCAAAAGTGGGCCACAAAACTCATAGACCAACCGCTGCTGGAGCGATTCGAGCGCGTCACAGGCCACAAGCCGCACCGCTGGTTACGGCGTGGCCTTTTCTTCTCCCACCGCGATCTTGAGCTCATCCTTGACACATACGAGCGCGGCGACGACTTCCTACTATACACCGGCCGCGGACCTAGCAGTGATGCCATGCACATTGGTCACACTATACCCTTCGAGTTCACAAAGTGGTTGCAGGATGTCTTCGACGTTCCGCTGGTCATCATGTTGACAGATGACGAAAAGTTCCTGTTCAAGGAGAAGCTCAAGCAGGAGGAAGTCTATGAATTCTCGCGGCAGAACGCCAAGGATGTCATCTCCGTCGGCTTCGACGTCAAGAAGACCTTCATGTACATCGACTCCGAGTTCTTCACATCCGGCTTCAACAGACACTTCAGTCTCAACACCACTGAGTTCGAGAAGCTAGTTACCAACAATCAAGTGCGCGGCGCGTTTGGTTTCGATGGCTCAACAAACATCGGCAGCAATGCATTCGCAGCTAAGCAGTGCGTTGCCGCTTTTGCCTCGTCATACCCCTTTATCTGGGGTGAAGATCACACGACCTACAAGCGCTCGAAGAAGCTTGCTTCCATACCCTGTCTGATTCCTTGCGCTATCGATCAAGATCCCTACTTCCGCCTGGTTCGTGAGAACTGCCACCGAATGGATCTCCCCTCGCCCAAACCAGCCCTCATACATTCCAAGTTCCTCACTGCGTTGCAAGGCGCTGGTGGCAAGATGAGCGCCTCCGATGCCAACTCTGCCATCTTTATGAGCGATACACCAAAGCAAATCAAGACCAAGATCAACACAAAGGCTTTCTCTGGTGGCCAAGAGACACTAGAGCTCCATCGCGAGAAGGGTGGAAACCCCGATATCGACGTACCGTACCAGTACATCGGATACTTCGAAGACGATGACGAGAAGCTCAAGAAGCTAGCTGAGGACTACCGCAAAGGCGAGCTATTGACCGGCGAGATGAAGAAGGAATGCGTAGACACCATGACTGTGTACGTTAAGAAATTCCAAGAAGCAAGAGCAAAGGTCACCGACGAGATTCTCGACGAGTTCCTCCGCCCGCGGAAGCTAGAGTGGAAGGGTAATCCGAACCCTACCAAGCCCAAACTCGAGCAACCGGCACAAGACACAGAGAGCGGGGGTCCTTCATTGGACGCCGACGGAAAGCCGATGACCAAGAATGCCATGAAGAAGGCGGCTAAGATGGCTGAGGTCGAGCGCAAGAAGAAGGAGAAAGAAGCCGCTGCTGCCGCGAAGCAGTGAGTATGCCAAAACTTGAATCTTCGTTGAAGAGATAGATGCACGATACCAATATGACCGAGTCGAATTCACCTGCAGCCTATTCTTAGCCTTCCACGGGTGTATTGATTGCAATGTTCCAGCGCAGGGTACCTCCCGGGCCGGTTACTGATGTAACATCACGTATTGTTTCAAGAGCTATGCTAACGGAATCTAGAAATTGCTAACCTTGAAAGTATCACCAAGTGCATTAGCCAGATCATGACGTGAAAGGCCCCAGATGTCCTCAGAGCTCCCGCTCGGCGCTGGTTAGTCTATAGGTTGAGCGACATGAGAGCGGATCATAATGTGGACCGTACCACTCTCCATACTTTACCCCAGTGGTACGCCGGTCGCGTGCTCCCGTCCGGCCCGCGACGGCCGACCACAAAGCTTGTATCTGCTTCACAGTTGACCGGCATAGGAGTCACTTCAACCACCGATAACCTGTTCTGCCTAGAGCCGCCAAGTTGTCTTCGAGTCACGATGCCTTCAAGTTTTGATCGGCCTTCTACTCCAGCTGGCTAACGTCTTAGTTTGAGGACTCGTCTTCCGCTCGCTCGCCATTATGTGCTACCTCTCGCCGCTGCCTACCCCAAGTGTCTTCTTAGTGCACTCAATCTCGGGTTCTGCTTAGAATGGCTCGCTCATTTGAGGTCATGGGCATGTCATCCCGTCCGGTCCTAATCAACCTGCGTCACATTCCCTCGTGACCCCGCGGTCTTCTTGACTCCGCATCCCCGCGCGTGCTCTATATGTCAGGTGTGACAGTCATCACCTCCATCCGTGACTGGCGTACACTTCCTCCTCTTATCCCGACTCCCTACAAGTATCGCTATCGCTCAAACTTCTACACAAGACGATCTAGACCCTAGCATCATGGTGTCAGCTATGGAGCGGAAACGACATGGTGTCGTCGACTTTGATCAGCAACTTATGGATCAAGGCCAATCAGACACACTAAGTTTCGACAGTTCAGACGACACCCTCACCTCCCTACCGGCGATATCGAAGCTCGAATCGACGGATGCGATGATAGAGAGAACGACTACTATTGTCGAAAGCAATAACGAAGCGGAACGATCAATGTCGCTTCGCGAAGGCATACGCCTGTACCCCAAAGCGATAATATGGTCGGTGTTACTATCGATGACACTCATTATGGAAGGATTCTCTACTATTCTCGTACCCAATCTGTTCGCAATGCAACCTTTCCGGAAACAATTCGGCACATTACAATCAAATGGCTTGTACGAAATTAGCGCCGACTGGCAAAGCGCACTTGTGAACGGCGGCCTAGCAGGGCAGATCGTAGGGCTTTTTGCTACAGGAACACTCGCTGAGCGAATTGGCTACCGATACACGCTCATGGTAGGATTGGTGGCAATGAGTGTGTTCATACTCGTGCCCTTCTTTGCCACAGGTAAGACGGTACTATTGATAGGACAGTGTCTACTAGGTATGCCTTGGGGCATGTTTCAGTGTATATGCACGGTGTATGCTGCGGACGTCTGCCCAGTGGCCTTACGGGCGTATCTGACTACGTATGTTTCGGTCTCATCTCTTTCTCCCAGATTTCGCACTCAGCTCAGTTAAATGAAGCTAACAACATCAAGTTATGTCAACGCATGTTGGGTCCTCGGCCAACTTATAGCGTCCATCGTCATGCGCGGCATGATGAATAACACCACCATATGGGCCTACCGCATCCCCTTCGCATTACAATGGATTTTCCCTATCCCAATCTTCTTCGCCGTTTACTTCGCCCCCGAATCACCTTGGTGGCTCATACGACAGGATCGCTTTGTGGATGCGATGAAAACGATGCGTCGGCTGCGCACACAACCAGCAACCATGTCAGACGATGAGTATGATAAGACTCTGAACGGCGCAATGGAGGCCATGATTCAAACGAACGAGAGAGAACAACAAATGCAGAGTGGCACAAGTTACAAAGACTGCTTCAAGGGAGTGGACCGGCGCAGAACCGAGATCACGTGCATGGTGTGGATTATCCAGACGCTGTGTGGCAGCACCTTCATGGGCTTCTCCACCTACTTCTGTAAGTTGATCAACGTCGCATGACATGACGAACTCGGCGTAGACTAACCCCATCCAGACGAACAAGCAGGTCTCGGCTCCTCACACGCTTTCACACTCTCGCTAGGCCAATTCGCACTCGGTCTCGTCGGCGTCTTCATATCTTGGGCTCTCATGGCATACTTTGGGAGGCGCACACTTTATCTCTCCGGACAAGTCATGACCTTCGTCTTCGTATTGCTCATCGGGATACTAGCCTGCATACCACACCGCCACCATTTCGTTACCGTCCGCTCAGCGGTAGTGGGCACACCCTCTCAAGTCGGAAATCCGCATCCTACAGCACTCAACTGGTCCATCGCAGCACTACTTCTCGCCTTCACACTCGCCTACGACGCCACCCTCGGGCCTATCTGCTATGCCCTCGTCTCGGAAATCCCTTCCACACGGTTGAGAAGCAAGACAATTGTTCTAGCACGCAACTGCTACAACATCTCCGGTATCGTCACAAACATTATCACGCCACGCATGCTCAATCCTACAGCGTGGGGATGGGGAGCTAAAGCAGGTTTCTTCTGGGCAGGCACGAGTGTGATCGGCATTTTGTGGAGTTGGTGGCGACTTCCCGAACCAAAAGGGAGGACGTTCGGTGAGCTTGATGAACTCTTTGAGAGGAAGGTGGCCGCACGCAAGTTTAAGACTACGGAGTTTACGGTCGGAGGGGCGCTTATCGCGAGAACGGAGAAGAGTAGGGTGTAGGAGCATGGAACATCAGAAAGAAGGGAGAAGATGAGGCTAGGTGGAGCATGTAACGCGACTACGAATATTGTTTCTTATTGCTTGGCTGTTAAGGCGGATATGATAGCGACTAGGAGCATGTCTCTGGACGCGGGGTTAGGTAGATCGCTTTCTTTTCTGATGTCTTATAGCATTTTCCTAAGTTCGTCTCATTTATCGAAAGAACTAAACAAGTCTGCAGACTACGTTAAGATGAGAACAGGCGAAGTAGATAGCCTAACATCAATGTACGCTTCAACAAAGTCTACCTGCGCCACCGACACCACCCCCAAAAACCCCTTCTTCTCGGCGTCCCATTCCCATTCTCAACACAAGCCGCCCTCCTCAGCTCCTCTTCTCTCCTAAGCCGCTCTACCATCTCCACACTAGCTGGCGGCGCCGCTAGCCGTCGCTGCTCATCGCTTATAGCCCTATTGACACTTATGCACCTCCTCGAGATGGTTGTAGCAACATCCAATAGGCCATGCTCTTCAGCTAGATGCCGCACATCCTGTGCTAAATCCATGATGCTGAAGAAATCCGAGCCTGGGTCGACTTGTCCGGTGCGGGTGACGGACTGGAGATCAGGGGTGAAGTCGTGGGCGAGAATGGCTTCGGCTTGGAGAGTGACGAATTCCCGCATCGACATTCGAGCTGGCGGTATGACGTCGCTTGAAGGAGCGGTCTCAGGCTCATCCGGTGAGGGCACCTGCCCATCGACCGTTCCATCATGCCGTGGATATTCCGCCATCGTGCCCCAAACTCTCATCTGATGCCTCCTTTGCTCAAACAACTCCCTCTCGCTCTTCCTCGCATTTCTCTCCTCACAGTCCCTTCCAACCATGTCCGCAAACCCAGCAAGCGAATTTGATATCTTGTCAACAGCGTCGCGTCCCTGTGGATACCTGTCCCGCATTTTCTGCAGCGCTCCCAATGCCTCTTCAACGAGACCAGGCATCTCCTTCAGTTCTTCCGATATCTCTTCGGGATGTGTAGGGAAGAAGTCTTGGCGGCATAGTGGGCAGGTGCTTGCGTTGTCGAACCAGGTTTCGATGCAGGATGCGCCGAAGATGTGGTCGCATGATGGCATTTTTAGTGCATGGTGGCTTTTTATGGGAGTTGTGTCGGCACATGGCTCGGCACAGATTGGACAGATATGGGGTAAGGCGTCTTTGGAGGAGGAAGTTATGTGAGGAGAGGTATAAAGGGCTTTGTTGCTGAAGGTTTCCCGGGTGTTGTAGAGTGGTGCCATTTTGAAATGTGGATTTGAATGTCGTTGGTGAAGATGTTTGGGAGTGTCTCTGGAGATGGTTTTGGAAGTGTGAGTTGATGCAGATTCAGAATGTGCAAGACGCGCTTTTATTCCAAATTAATGTCCTTGCATTCATACCATGGTTCTTTGCATACGGGCTATGCATCCGACTCATGGTTGGCGATATCCAGGTTTGGCACTGACGAACCAAAGTTGAGGGAGTTCAAATCACAACTTTGGGATCGGCACACAACGCATACTAAATATTCACCGGTTACCCTGTGAAATTAACCTTGGGGAGTTGCGTGAACATGTGAAGCCTAGATAAAAACAAAGCAGGTCTGCAGCCTATATTAATACAGAAACATGCAAAGTAGGTAGCCTGACGTTGATGTAGGCTCCAGGCATATTTGTAGATATCATAGGATTTATTCGTGATAAGGGAAGATTCCGGATGTACCGCAACCCAAGTGACCATAATACCGTTCTAGATACCAAATAACGTTGTATTGTTCTGTAGCGTACAAGGAGTCGCAATAACGACACCAGCTGGATCAGATAGCCGACAACTCGAACGCCGCCGAGATGTTGAAGTCCTGCCCATGAATGTTCATGACGTCGTCACCTTCGAGTCTCTCTGAAGAGTCGTTGTCGTCGTCGTTAAGCTCCGGTGCCCACCTGGCCTGAACGCGGAGGGTATGGCGATAGTCCTCCAGCATCTCTATCCCAACTCGCAGAGTGATCTCGTATACCTTCTCGCCTTTCCTCTTACAGCCAGGTAGCTGTTCTGTTCCGATCTTTCCTTTAAGAGCGTTCATGTCGTACTCGATAACACCCAGTTCTGCTGCGCCTGCATTTTCATCCCCGTCAACCGCATGCCACGATTCTTTTGGACCATTCTCCGTGTACCAGATAGACTCCCTGGCGATCCAGGGGTCTGATGCTTGAAAGACATGCTTTGAGGTGATGAAGAATTCCTGATCCGGTGAAAACTCTTCCCCCTTTTGTGCGAAGTAATGCAAGAGATTGAAGTAATAGAACTTCCCATCTAGGCCCCGTTTGGCGGATAACCCGCCAAGATGTGCAAGCTTAGGGTATTCCAGAGTGACCTGCGCCGAGCCCCATTGTTTAGGAACAGTTCGCATAACCGCGAAGCTCGCGCGGAGGAACCGGCTCGGAGGAAACATGTCCACATTCAGGGCTCGAATACCTGCGCCACCAGCCACTGCAAAGCTCCTTTCGACTGTTAGCTCCCATGATACTGATAGTATATACCTTTTGAACTCACGAGATCGCCTTATCATGAATATGTTTCGGGGGATGAGGCCAATGTTGGGTACACTCCTTTCCTCTGTCACGAAGCAATCTGCTATCCGAGAACTGGCCAGTCCAGGTGACGCATGAGACTGTCTCTCGTTTGGCTTCAATATGCTGGTACTGTTCGTGGAAGAGCGCGTCAAGGCCGGTTAGACTGTCTCCTACTACTTCATCATATTCTTCTCTACGCCACGTTAGTGGCCAGATGGTCCTCAGGATGGATATACTCTTACGGTGTCAGAAAAAGCTCGTTCCTCTCAAAATTCCGTGCTTGATCTGGCTGCAGACCATAGATGCGAAATCCAGGTGGTCGTTCGTTTGGGTCTGGGTCTCTCGTCGTCAAGTCTGGACAGGATCTTTTGATGTCGCTCTCGAAGAACTGCACTGCACTTTCGATGATGTTGGAGACAGAATCATTGCTTTGAAGAAGTTGACCAAGAACTCCTTCTTCTTCGAGGCATGCGAACTTTCTCTCCAGTATTCTTCTAACGTTGTTGTTCCAAGACTCGCCTCCACACGTTTTGCCTGTCCCATATCAGTAATTTGCAGAGCAGTCGCCATAGTTGTGGTTGCTCTTACAACTCATTTCGCAGACAAGCTCCCAGCGGTCTGGATTCTGACGCGTCTTTTTGAGCGTGGTTAATTGGATGGTTCCACCTCCAGCGTCCACATTGAGTACGCAATCTTCCACCTGTCTCAAAGATTAGACGATCACCCCATTACGTAGAGAGCTATTAACATACTTCGAAATCGCCGCCCCAGTTTGAAAGACAGTAAGAAGCTGCAGCCTCCGGTTCAGACGCTGTTGTGATTCGAGGCGGCGTTTGCGCGTCGTGTTCGGGCCACACTATACGGATAGCTGACACAAAGGAGCTGTACCATCGATGATACGACTTCACGCTCCAGGCAATGGGGGCACAAATGACGAACTCTGGATGTACAAATCCTTCGTCAAAATTCTTCTCCCGCACTCGAGTAAGCGACTGCACAAGGTAGTCCGTAAACGCATCGTCTTGGGCGTGGATGAAACCGTCTCGTTGAAGGTCGTCTAGTTTCTTCTCGAGCTCCGAAGTATCGATCGAAGAATCCAAAAGCAGCTTCAAACCAGTGATCCACCGGTGCTTCAGCTGGTGGATGTCGTCCCAGGGGTTCTCGATTTTCGAAGACATTGACCAACCCCAGAGAATGGTGTTGTCATCAAGAGATCCGCCGTAGCACTGCTTTGTGGGAACCACATCGCTATGTTTGCCATCTTTATTTTTTCGCGGCCAATCGTGGAAATATTCCACATGTCGGTACGTAATGTCGTTAACGTTTCGATTTGGAGGGACCACAATACGAGCGACCGTTGCGAATGTCGTTCCCATGTCAACGATCAACAAAAGCCGGCCCCGCTGGGAGGGCGTGACGTTGGAAGAACCCATATCTTCCTCTAAACCGGAGGCAGGTTAGGAGAGAAACAGATGGAATGGACATGGCGCGATTGCGCACTGAACCTTCGCTAAGAGCTAACGGCGACGTGCAGATCTTGGTGAGACATACCATGTATTTTTATGCATCTGAACGCCACAGAAATGCAGGGTATTGTCCGCGGAGTTTCTGTGAGGTTCCATGTAGGTGCAGCAGCAAACATTCTAAGACAGGGGTGTCTTGAATCAACAAGTTGGCGACCGTGGACACAACAGCAGCGCCAAAGCCGTGATCTTGAGCTCGTATAAGATACCGTCAAGCGCGCGACTTCTTACATTTCTTCGAACATTCAACTTTGTCCGCGTCTTTAGCGTCCTCAACGTCTGTGAGACCCTCACGATGAGCAGCTGTCCTCCACGCTGGTCCCCACACGAACGCGCTTTATTATTCGCATGCGTGCAGCATTGCCACGAAACCCAGATGGGCCTCGAAAAGAACCTTCACAGGATGCTTCAGCGAGTCGGCGAATCAAGCGTCTTCCACCGGATTAGCAATGCGCGTACATGGAAGGCCATCCGCAACTATCTGCATAAGCAAGCGCCTTCAGTCAAGCGCGCTATTCGTCGCTTTGAACAGGAAGGCATCTCATTCCTCTCCTTGGATCCAGACGTCATGGACTATATCGCTGCGTACAGTGATGAAATCTTGCGGCAGGCGCCTTCTTTGCACTCTCCCACGGAGACTGGAACGACTTCGGCTGTCGACCACGACAATGCGCGAGGCTCAGCAATAGTGAGTTGTAGTGCTGATATACTGCACGTATGCTAACACTTTGAAGCCTACACGCGCTACAGGGTCGAAGAAGCGCGCCGCGTCAGACGGTACCGTGACTGGCAGGCCGAGCAAAACCGCGAAAACGACCGGGAACCACGAACGAAGTCCATCAGCAGCCGTACATATGGACATTGAAGGACGGGAGGAGGAAGGCGCGGCCACGGGGCAGGATGATCAAGAGCATGCTGGACTGGATGTAGTCGGTGCTGCAACGTCGGAGAACCCGACAAACCTCGCTCGCGGCTCGTCCGGTCGAGCCGAGATGCAGCTGGAAAGACGCCAGATGCTTGGTACACGTGCTGGCAAGGGAAAAGCGCCACAGGCAATGGTATGCTTTTGACACCTCGCGGCATTGGATGTTTACTAACCGAACATAGGTTGGGCGGATGAAGCCAACCAGCGCTAGCTGCACCGTGACCCCCACCAAATCTCCCCACCGCAAGGCCCCGGCTGCTCCAAGACGTGTCACAACAGAAAGCGCAACCCCCAGTCACGACAAGGACGATGATGTAGCTGTCATCTCATATCTCCAGAAGCGCTACGATCATGTCGTCAACATCGAACGCGAGGCGAGCAGCGAACTGCGGAAAGTGCAGGCCGACAACACGAACCTGCGACAAGAGATCGAAGAGCTCCGCCAACAAGTCGAAGAGCTTCAAACACCAAGCCATGCTGAACTTCGTCAACATGCTACTACTCTCAAGCAGCAAGTAGAGACGCGATCTTTGAACGAGAAAACGACGCTGTCTATTCAGGCCCTTGAACTTAGGCAGTGCAAAGAGAGGAATCAGCTTCTCGAAGAGCGCCTCAAGAACAAGGAAGCACTTGTAGGCCATCAGAAATGCATGCTCGATAACCTGAGAGAGCCTTACCTCATCCCTCGGTCTCAGGCATATCCAATCGAATACGACATCCAGTGTCTTGGTCCAATGTGGTCTCGTCGCATGGAAGGCTTGGCACGTGTCTTCCCACAATACAACCCGGCCACCACTTTGAGTCCTCAATATGTCCTCCCTGCGAAGTTCGAGATCGCCATGCGTACCATCACTGGGCTACCACTAGCACAGACCAGAAACTTAGCGCTCTCGGCGTGCTTCGCTAATGTTACGGGCCTACCCACCGACGTTAACATCCACGCGGCCTTGTTCAAGTCCTATGCGCTACGATGGGTCTACGACACTAATTTCCACACCGATGGACTAAATTCGGAGAAACTGGAGGATCTGTGGCAGTCGATCGCTTTAGAAGGTAAGCATCTATTAAGCCTGCCGCGGATAACAACTAACCAAGACAGGCGGACTCGAATCTGTGCGCAAGCAAGATACGATAGCCACACTCTTCAAGATCAACAACCAGCATTTCCGAGACAACGAACTACCTGCCAAGGCCAAACACCAAATGGACATATTCATCGAGGAGTTCCGTGAGCTCATTCCCTGGCTGGACACCAAGCGTGCAGAGCTCACGACCTGGCTGAAATACGTCATGATAATCAAGATCGAGCTTCTTGTATCCAATCAACATCACAAGATGGCCTTCCCACCACCTGGAGTACCCTTCGACAAGGCGACGATGCATGGCTTCCTCGAAAACGGAGATAGTCCGGGACTTGGGGAAGACTGGTCGAAGTATCGGGTCAAAGTTTGCCTCAGCCCTGCGCTTTACATGTGCATCCTGGAGCCAGAGTGGAGTGATATCAACGGCTTCGATCCCAGCACAGACAACTATAAAGATGCTCTGCTCGAATCGAGGGATTTCTTTCCTGAGGAGCCGGGCAAGTATCATGGTTGGGAAGGATCTTTCCTGGTGGCTCGGGCTCTAGTTTCTATCGAGAAGTGTCCAGAGGAGCCGCAGCCGAGTCAGGTCCCACGACTTCGACTCATCCAACGCTCAGCAGAGAAGAGTCAAGAAGTGGCGGAGGATTACGTTGATGAAGCCAATAGTGAAGATGGTGACCATGACGGGGGTAGCGTTAATAGCACGGATGGTAAGAGTAACGAAGACAGCGAGTATAGTGCCGATGGTGTCGCGGAGCAGTAAGAATGGGTAAAGCGCAGAATGTCTAAGTATGGCGGTGGATTCTGATGCAGATAAGGGCAACAAAACGCGGTCAGGTAACTCAATATAGTTGAACGTTTAGGTATTCAAATTTGCAGAGTAGAGAATGTAAGAGTAACCAGCAGCGTCACTTAACATACTCTCGTTTCAACCTCAGCCATATAATCCAAAACCTGATCTCAGAACCCCACTCCAAACCACCATCCTACCCAACAACCCTCCCAAACCCAAACCCCCTAACCCCATTACTAACCCACACCCCCTCCCCCACTTCCACAGTCTCAATCCCCACCGGCTCCTCCATACAAAACCCACTTCCCAGCGCCCACCGCCTACTCGTCCCCCTCTGCCCCCCAGCCCCTACTTTCGCACTCCTCGTACTATGCCCCCACCTCCCCGCGAACGGCTTCCTTAGCTCCCCCTCATCAGCCCCATCATCCTTCAGCGTCTTAGCCGAGAATTCTCCTGAGGGTACGCCTACAGGCGGCGTAACCCACCTCCCGCCACGGAAAAGATAGAGGGAGGTTAGCGTGCCTTCGGTTAGCTCGCGGACTTCGTTGTAGAGCATGACTTCGCGGTAGGCGAGACCTGCGGGGTTTGGGGGTAAGGCGCGGAGACGGCTTTGGTCGTACATTTCGCGTTTTGTGGTTTTGAGGAGGGTGAAGGGGGAGGAGGGGGTGGGGGCTGTGTCGAGAGCTATTTTCCATTCGGGGGGGGGGGAGGATTGGGAGGAATCGCCGGATGGGAGGGTGGATGTGGGACCGAGGTGTAGGGCACCGCCTGTTAGGGGGGAGGGCGTGAGTGATTGTGTGGTGGTGGTGGTGGTGTTGGCGGGATGGTGGGGTGGGGATGGGGATGGGGGATCTAGGGATGGGGGGTAGAGGGTTGATAGGGGGACGGCTGGTATTGGGGTACATTCCACGGTTAGGTTGGCGGCTTTGTCGAATAGGAGTCGGAGCTGGGTTGTTCTTAGTAATGTGTAGAGATGGTTTAACGCAGGTCGTACCTTCATGGCTTCATCTTTTCCTGTTTTCTTGATCTCGTCTTGCACTCGCTTCAAGAGTTCCTCATGCAAAGTCTTCCCATCTTCCAGTCTTTTCTCGACTTCGAAAAAGTCAAAGTGCTGTGCGGCTTCCACCATCCGGTCTCGGTGGTATGCGAGCATGTAGAAGGGTGACGGCGTGACGAAGTTCAAGATGGCTCTGGAGTTTTCCTCGGATTGGAGCAGTAGTTGATCGTATCTCAGGGATGTGAAGAGCTGGAACTCGTCTTCTGATGCCATGATGAGCCGCTTGTGGTGGTGATGACTCTTCGTGAACGTTGAGATGCTGGTGATTACAGGTTGTTCGACGGATGTCTTTGAACTTGACTATGAGAGCTTATCTCAGGCCAATGTTGGATGCAGATATGCAATGTTGTTGTGTTGTATGAAAGACTTGCCTATGTAGATGTACGACGGATGTGCTGTCATTCATGGTGGGTCAGCGAGATGACCGTCCAATCCGTTCCGAGCGGACCTCAACCCGCATTCAGTTCCGAAGTCGGCTGATTGGTCAGGACGCGTACTGTTAGAACTTCGTGAACTCTGAACATGAATTTGTTAACGTGTAACGCTCTGTTGCGGTTTTCTTGGCTATTGATAGTTCGTGCTATGTCTAGTCATCCCATCATTGACGACAGTCTTGATGCACTAAGGGAAGAATGCTGATTATGTTTAATCCAACCCCCCATTCCAACACAACAAGACCTTCACTCAAACTACCCCCAGAACATCAAACTCCCATTGGCCCGGTGCAAATTCCGCCACAATCCACAGCACCAACTCCCACATACTCATATCGGAAAGATCATACCCAGCATTCCAAAACGATTACCCTACTTAGTAAACAAAAGACAAACCCGTAGATGACTGTAGAAAAGCGGTGTTTACCTCCACCCAACCATGGTGCTTGAGGTAAGAACCACGGCTGGGGCCGAGAAAGCTCCTTTACCAATTAGAGGAAGCGAGCATGTGGATCGCAGGTCTGGTGCGGAGGTTTGTACCGAAAGCTGTTACAATAACAGGTGGGTAAGAAGCGAGATGATGACATGATGACATGAGGCTGCTCAGGGGCGCGTGTAAGGAGTCGTTATGTGTCTGCGCGCAGTGCTTCTGAGTGAAGGTTTATTCTCTCTTCATTCTAATCCATGACTGCCGATGATATTGCGGATTTGTTGTGACGCTCGGTGGACAATGTATTACTATATACGCCAGGGTATCGCTGACCGGCGGCAGCGTAATAAGCATTTCACCTTTAGCGTTGATGTAGCTCAGCAGGTCTCTACGAGCTCATTCAGCCTGTGAAGAGACAATCACCCCGTGCGCGTCGCCACGCGTTTGAAGATCTGGCGCGGACGCTCTTGCGCAGCAGCAGGTGGATTCCACGATGGACGAGTCTTCGTTGGCTTCGCTGAAGCAAAACCCCCAACTGCGCCCCTCTGAGCACTGATCAGAGCCTCTATGACAGCTCCAGCCTCTGCGCGTACATCTACATACTTGGCCGGAACCAGAGGCGGCTCAACATGGAACCTCAAGCTACCCTGCAAATCCAGTGTATTGCCCGCGCGCAGCGTATTCAAAAGACCTGGCTGGCTCTTCCGGACCTTAGGATAGACAAATTTGCCATTCTCGTCGTATCCGCGGGCTTGGAGCTCTTCTTTGATAGCATTGCGCAGACGCCGTCTAGCCCATGTTCTTACACAGCTGGACTTGTTCAGGTCGGCGGGGGTGGTCGCATGCCACCAGAGTCCCTCCTTCTTCTTGTCTCTCTGTCTGCGGCGTTGCGTCTCGCAGAGGGGGTGCTGGGGATCGGACGCGACGTGGTTGAGGATGAAGTGCTTGTAGTCGGTGGCATAGCTGACTTTGAACGTGCGCGGCTGCTGTCTGGCGAGGAGCGAATAGACGGCATTCTTTGACATGGCTGTCCCATGCCTCTCGTGTGTATGCACGGTGACGTAGGGTGAAGAAGCAGCGAGTGGGGGTGAAAAGGCTCGAGGACCACGCATGAATTGATTTTCGGCCGGGTGAGCGACGGGGCGCTAGGCTCAACGTAGGCTTAGCGCGCAGTGTCGAAGGCTCCCACAGTGAGTCGGAATCCACAGTGCAAACAACCGTCTCGCCGCCACTACATAAAGACTTGCGCCCGCCGACGCTTCTGCCACCAACACCAAACACAACCCCACCCACACCAACACACACTTCGACTACCGCCCACCATGCCGAAGAACAAGGGAAAGGTACGTTCAACGCTTCTTTGGAGGGGCTGCCCCGCCACTTCTCCCAGCGCCTGACGCCCAAACCTCACGGCGCTTTCCATGTCTGGGCGATGCGGCGCTTGCTCTCACATGCCACGATGCACCTGCTAACAAATCCATCAGGGAGGTAAAAACCGACGTAGGGGTAAGAACGAGAACGACAACGAAAAGCGCGAACTCGTCTTCAAAGAAGAAGGCCAAGAATACGCCCAAGTCGTCAAGATGCTCGGAAACGGTCGTCTGGAAGCCCAGTGCTTCGACGGCGCCCGCCGTCTCGCCCACATCCGCGGCAAGCTGAGGAAGAAGGTCTGGATCAACCAGGGTGACATTATCCTGCTGTCGCTGCGAGACTACCAGGACGAGAAGGGTGATGTTATTATGAAGTACTCTGGTAAGTACTCTCTCTATCCCTTACCGCTGTTTGAGTGTGTGGTATTAATATCTCGATAGCCGACGAAGCCCGCTCATTAAAAGCCTACGGCGAACTCCCCGAAAACGCAAAGATCAACGAGACAGACACGTACGGCGACCAGGGCGACGAGGGCATCGGTTTCGAGTTCGACGAGGACCGCGACGACAGCGATTCGGACGAGGCTGACGGCACCGGCAAGAAGGAGATTGATATTGACGACATTTGAGGGGGAGGCGTGCAGATCCGCCATGCTGTCTCGGCTTCCTGCTTTGCGGCTGCTGCTTTGCTGTGGCGGGGGCCGGGCTGCTCAAATGCTGCTTCTTGCGAGCGGGCGGATGGTTGATTGAGGGATGTTGATGTTGAGGACACATAGTTCCGTATGGATGATCATGAGGTTGTTCGGCATGTTTTTATGTTACATGCTTTTGGACTTTTCGTGAAAGCATGATGGGATAGAGAAATGATGCACGCATAATCTTCGTCCAAACTACACAACTTCCCAAGATTCCTGTAGTCTCTATCTTCCACCATCCCAACCCCTAACTAAACCCCTGCCACTGCACCTCCTCATAAACACTGCGATTAAAAAACCTATGCACCCTCCTCCCCACATCCGTGCCCACCAACCAACAAATCTCCCTCTCGGACATATTCGCCACCTCAAACACACTCTCGCTCTTCAGCATCAACGTCGACACCACATTCTCATTCACCCCCGGCAGCGCCCTCAACATATCCTGACTCGTCTGATTAAAGCTCCTCATCTCATCCCCACTCTGATTCGGATCAAGCCCCAACTGCACGGCTTTCATCGGATCAGGCTCATCCTGCTGTTTCTTGAGTTCGGAGAAAATCTCGGCGGTTTGATAGGGGCTGCTGCTCCAGATGATTCTCAAGCGAGGGAAAGCGAGGGTAAGCATGACGAGTTTGGATTGGAGGTCTGGTGTTGTAGCGGGTCCGTTTGCAGAGGAAGAACTGCTGCTGCCAGCTGAGTAATCCGTAAAGGGCTCTAGAGTAAAAGACTTGTTTTGGTCGAATTCAATGAGCAGCATGGGGTGTTTGTAGTGTTCCATCATGGATTCGACTTGGTTGAACAGGCGGCCGTTGGCGAAGGATTGGATTAGGTCGCGGATGGACTTGCGCTCGATGCAGATTTGCGGGGTGAGGACGTAGTCGCCGACAGTGAGCATGCAGGGGACTATTACGATGGACCGGCCGTGCAGGAGCGAGGGGAGCGAGGACCGGAATTCGCGTACGTCGACGACGACGCGCGGGGGTTCGGTGGTGGCGGCTAGGCGGCCGCCGCCGGCTATACGTGTGTTTATTGTGCGGAGGAAGGATTCTTCGGGCGCGAGGTTGGCGGTGGAGTTCATGGTTAGGGCCATGTTTGCGCGCTCTTTAATGAGGCGGGTGAAGGCGTCTTTTTCGCGGCGCACGGCGGAGAGGTATCGTTGTTCTTCTACGCTGCCGCCGTAGTACATGAAGAAGACTTTTACTGTTCGGTCGGTATGGGATGATCGGTATACTTCTATCCGCCGGATGAACGCTGCGTCGGGCTCGTACATGATGACGTACCGCGGCTTTGTCTCGTCGAGGATGTGTTCGTCCAAGTCTCCAGAGTAGGGGTGTACGATTATCAGGGAGTTCATATCGAAGAGCTCGTAGAAGCTTTCCATGTTGTCAAGCGGGTCGAATCCTACGTCGCCAGGCTTTTGCGCGGCTTCGATCTCGGTGGGTTCCAGTTCGGCCATTAGACTTGCAATGTGGGCGTCGCGGTCTCCTGCTGTCCGGACAGCTCCTGTATCAGACCGCGATGGTCCTGCTGCTGCGTTTCCGCCTCCTCTTATGCGGCGCCGCTTGTTAGGCGGAGGTTTACCAGAAGTCTGGCGCATACCACTCTGAACATTCTTGTCTGTGCTGGTGTTGATGGCTTTCTGATTCTCTGAGAACAGCGCAGCGCTGACCTTGCTGAAGTCGCGTTTCCATGTGAGATAGCTCCGTAGCTTGCGTCGCATCATGAAGTTCGCTGATGGCTCGTACTCGTCTTCTTCCTCGTCTGCAACACCCTCTGGCTTGACGTACATGGTCTGCAGATACTCTCTTAGCTGTGACGCTGTACCTTGGTCGCCGCACATGATGAGTATAGACCCGTTGGACGAGTCTTGCGGTGTTGGGTTGAAGTAGGCATCTTGCTCTATCTCTTGCAGAATTTCTGCGAGCTGCGTCCACTTGGGAAATTCCTCTAGAACAGGCTGCAGAGACTCTGGCACGGCATTCGAGGCGTTTGCTAGTTCCGCGTTAGATACCTTGCCTGTGTATACTCTTCGCTTGGCAGTAGTGAAGATGGTATCGGCCGCGTCTAGGAACAACCATGGAGATTGGTTCTGCTTTGTTGACCCTGGCGGCGGCTGCGAGGCTGCAAGCACGGTATCGAGGTACTTGTTGAAGTTCACCGCATCATAGGTAAGAAGGGCATGCAGAATAGTGCGAAGCAGGGACAGATCTCGAACGACCTGTCGCGTCTTGAACGTTGTACGATGCCAGACGGGGTCTAGTTGACGTCTGATGATTTGATCAAAATTCTTGTGTAGGGCACTGTCCACATTCCAATCCTCCATCTCCACGCCTGGGTTTGCTTTCTTGAGCTCGCTGATACTGGCCTCAACACAGGCTAGTACCGCGTTCTGTATATCTTGCATAGCTTCCGTCATCGGCACTTCCAGCTCAATGACTTCCGCTTTCTTGCGTCCCTCGAGCGAGTTCGCGACTGCGACGTGGAATCTTGGGTATAGCGCCGGCTTCGTAAGGAACAGGTTCTTCATCATATTCGTGAGCGGGGCGAAGCCTGTCGTGAAGGGCTCTGGTGTATCCGAGAACGCTTTTAAGAAGCCTGCCTTGTTCTTTTGCCGGTATATCCTCAAGATGAAGGCTTCCAAAGATGTCGCGACGACCCGTTCAGCATGCAGCACCACCACACCCGTCACCGTTTCCGGATTGAGTAGCCCAGACAGAAAGTCCACGATGAGGATGCGCGACGTGATGCTGAAGATCCCGCCTTGGGCGTACATCTTCTCACGAGTCCCAACGCTCATCAGGTCGGTATTGACCAGGCTCAGGCCGCGACACTTGGGCGCGTTGCTGACGGCTGCGTGCTCAGCCAAGGCCTCGCCGATCCAGACATTCTCGCGATCGTCGGCACCCACGAGTAGTATAAGGTTGTTTCCGGCGGCATCGTAGGAGTGGAGGAGGTTCGTGACTATGCGCAGAAGGCCAAGGCCGCGCGCAAGGAGGACGAGCTCATCTTCCTCGCGCAGTTCGTTGAAGATGTCCTGTTGGAACTCCTATGATGTCATCAGTATGGTGTCTATAGACGTTCTAGAGCGGGCTTACGAGAGGCAACGAGAGCTTCACGGGGGCTTGCGCATCGTTGGGCATTGGATCCTGCTTCAACGGTCGTGGTGGGGCGAGATGAAGGTTTGGGGCTGGTTCGCGCGTCTAGGTTCGCGGAACTTCGCGAAACCTAGACGCTGTCACGAGATCGATCCCGGACGGATGTCACCTGAGCAGAGGCCTCGCCTCATTTCAGACACTCATGGACTCAACTATATCTGACATTGGACATGAACGGTACGTCATAGGTCTTGTAGACTGCCTCGATTCCCAGGAAACCCCCGGCCTTGAAGAAAGCGTAGATTCGTGATACATGTAAATATACAACAGCGAAAAGGAAGTCATCTGGCATGGGTCTGCTACTGCGTGCTAGCCCTAATCTCTGCTTGTCTTCTCCGACCCTCGGCAGCATATGCGTCGCGCTCCTCCCTGCGGATCTGTTGTTCCGTCTCAGACCTCTTCGCATCCATTTCCTTCTGCGCAGCCCAGACTAATTTCGTTAGCGCCGTCTCGAAGATGACTGCAGAAGGAACACTTACTCGGCTTGTCTGAACGCGAAGCCTCCTTCAATTGGCCAACAAAGGCGTCAAAGTCCTTCTGCCTCTGCTCCCTTCCGGCAAGGGCCTTCTTCTGCAGTTCTGGGCTATACCTCTGCATGGATCATGAGCAGCTGTTGGGCGCAGCACGTGGCAAAGTAGACATACCTTGAAGATTTCTTCCTCAGTAGGTGTAACCCACATGACGAGTGCAGGGCCGCCGATACACAGGATTCCGCCTCTGTTTTGACATCAGTTTATGGCCATGCAGCGGCCATGTATCTGACGTACCCTGCGATGGCTTTGATGTAAGCCGCGGTAGATGGCATGGTGTGTCTATGGTGACGGTCTGAATATCGGGAAGTCTACTCTCTAGATCTTCTGCTTCGTTGGCAGCGTATATCCCAGGGTATCGTGTTGGGGTGGAGACTCGTGCAGCTAAAGTGGTGAAGTCGACGATCCACCCAACTGCCGGATTGATTGTCTAACAAAGCTAGCCTGCTGCGCCACTTCCCATCACGTGTGTCGTGCACCGCCGCCCGACGCCACCGGAGCTGCATCGTCGGGACCCAACTGCTTGCAGGCGGCGAACGCTTACCCGAGCCTAAGGCCCAGCGATCACCGTCGACCCTGCCCTCATTGGTAGGCCGTTCCTCGACTGCATGATGTGTATGATCTCCAGCGGCTCTGCGACTTGGTTCGTATAGGGACTGCTTGACATCAGCTCATTCGGGCTGTTTTGCGCAGGGCTGATACTGATCGTCTCCATATTTCTCCAGTCACTTTAGCTGGCGGTGTTACTCAGGGCAAATTCGAAGGCTTCATTTAATCTACTCGCGTGCGAATCAATCCACCAACAACGATTCGTCTACTCCAAGGTCCCTTGTCCGCGTTTCAAGGCGAAGGACGCCAAAGCGGGACTTTTGCTTATTCATTTCCTGTGTTGCACCAGCGGCGTGTGGGTGACAGACCTGGGTTGAAACGTAATCGAACTAATTGGAGGTCACCCCGTGTTTGAGGAGGCAGCGGCCGCCCCCAATTGGCGTCGATTTCCAGAACATGTACAATTGAGAGTTCGACTATAGACTTTCCACCTTCACCACATCGTCATCCCGCCTTTGAAAGGTCGTCCCTGTGCTGAGTGGGCATATGACACCTCTTTGAGTTTGTGCCACCCCTGTCAGGTACGACATTGCCCGGAACACGGCCAACTGCCAACACCGTCATCGCGATCGCACGTCGACGACCAGCATCCGCTACAAACAGGCCGAAGGAGCCCAGGCTCGCGATCGCGATTGCGCCCCAGATACCTTAAGAGCTGCAGCCCCGCCGGTCGGACATCACCAACGCTCGCTAGCCTCGTGATAGACAGCCTCGGGTCAGGCTTCTCCGATAACGCCGCAAGCATGGCGCACCAACAACACTACGATCACTACGCGCAGCCGCAACAGCAGCAGCAGTACTACGACCAAGGCAGGCCGCAACAGAGGCAGCCGCAGCAATACCAGAATTACGACAATCAATACGACCAGCAACAATACTACGACTACGATTACGGCTATGACCAGGGCGGCCACGAGCAATGGAATAACGGACACTATGACCAGCAAGGAGGATGGGACAACGCGCAGCAGCACGGCGGCTATCAGGACGTGAATGGGCACTCGAGGCCAGCCCAGCCGGATCAGCGACGCAGACAGCCGCCGCAAGACCAGTACTATCAGGAGGAGGCATACAGCGACCAGCACTACCAGCAGTCGCCCCCGCAAAACCCAGGACGGAGACCGCCTCCCCAGAGTCAGCGTCCTCAGCAACAAGCCTACAATGAGCCTCCGCGACAACGACCACCACCACAACAACAGGATCCGCGAGGCCGGCCGACAGGTCAGGGGAATGCGCCACCCATCAACACACAAAATGGACGAGGTGTCCAGAGGCCACCAGGTATGTCGCGACAACCCGATTCACTCCTACAGAATACACATGGCACAGCAGGACTTCATCATGATATAGTCTACTGACCACCGTTGACAGGCCTCGACCGCTCCCTCTTCAACCCAACATCACCCAAGACTCTTGCCTACGACAACCCCTTTCCGACCTTTCCCTCGCAAAAGCCACCGCAAGCTGGCTCGAAGCCCCTCGAAAAGGGCATGGCACAGATGAACATCAAGGATGGTGGAGGACAGCCGAAGCCTACAGGCCCATCCGGGCGAGGTCAGCCTATGCCACCACAAAACCGCGGCCCACCGCAGCAGAGGTCAATACCCAACCCGCGGCAGGACTCGGGACATTTTGAAGGCCAGGGTCAACGCAATGCCCCTAATCGCATGCCGCCCGGACAGCGACCACCACCCATGAACGCCGATCCTAGTCGAGGACAGCAGCCACATCGCACGTCAGACCCGATGTCGCGAGCTTTCGGTCCGAACACACAGCGATCTGTGACAATGCCCCAGACACTACCAAATGGAAATCAGGGTGGATACAACGGTCAGCAGGAATTCGCCGAGCCTGGTGCTGTGTCCGGCTACTATGGCCCTGCATCGCCAGATCACATTCCTCCCAGGCCTTCAACTGCGGGTGGGACGAGGCAAAACGGGCCACCAATGCAGCAGGGACATAGGCCTCCTATGCCCCAGGCGCCGCAACAGCAGCCACCAACGCAATACCGCCAGCAAGACCAGCGTCAAGCGCCAATGCAGCAGCAACAGGCTCAGGGTGGCGAACCGGCACTGGACGACTTCTACGATGACTACTATGGGCAGGGCGACGCTGCGATGGACATGCCCAACTTTGACGCCATCCCAGAGACCAACAACAAGCATCGCAGAGGTGATTCAATCGACAACCACTTGACTCCATCTAACGATACCCGCTATGCCCCACCGCCTGCGCCCATGAACCCAGGATCCGGCAATCCTCAGGGCCAGATGCAGCGAAGTCGATCACAGCCAGACCTCAACGGGCAGTACGCAAATGGCGTGCATGAAATGGCGGCAGATGCTCCCCCAATGCCAGGTCCGTCACGAGCAAACACTGGCTTTGCGCCCCCGAATGGTCTACCCAACGGCGTCCGAGGACGAGGGCCGCCACAGAGGGGAATGACAGGTGATGGCATGCAGGGTGGACCACCCAACCAAGGCCCCATGCGTGGACAGCCGCCTAACTTCGACCCACGATATGGAGCGCCCCCTCCAGGGCCGCAAAGGGTGTACTCGGATGAGACTACTTACTCTGAGCCGCCTCCAAGCATGAACAGGAACTTCGGATCGCCCGCACCCGGACACCCTATCCAACGACCAGGAACAGCTGCACCTGCCCCGGGACGAAACCCAAGCGATCCTATGGGCAGAAGACCTGGCACTACTCAGCCACCGTCGAATCCAGACGCCTTGCCAGCGCACCCCATGCCTGTACGACAAGGCCTTATGCAGCAGCCACCGCGGCAGCAACCACAAGCAAACCAGCCCCAGGCGCCTCAGAACGCGAGACCGCCGCCTGTCAGACAATATAACAGTGAGCCTGGACGCCCCAGTATTGAAAGCCAACAATCTTCTACACAGCGTCACAGTGGAACAGGCGCGGCACCCCATCCAGTAACTTACGACGAGCTGAACCGGCTACGCAACACGTGGAAGCAAAACCCCAATGACATTCCTACGGGTCTGAAACTATCGAAGAAGCTCGTAGAAGCATCGAGCGTACTTGCCGATGAAGGAGGCACTGCCGACTCCAGGACGAAGAACAAGAACCGAGAGAAGTTTATCCTCGAAGCCCACAAGATCATCAAGAAGCTAGTCAGCAATGGCTCACCGGATGCCATGTTCTACCTCGCCGATTGCTACGGATCAGGAGGGCTTGGCTTGCAAGTGGACACCAAGGAAGCATTCACGCTCTATCAATCAGCCGCCAAAGGAGGCCATGCCGCAAGTGCATACCGCACAGCTGTCTGCTGCGAGATGGGTCATGAAGAAGGCGGTGGCACCAAGAAGGACCCCCTCAAAGCCGTCCAGTGGTACCGACGTGCCGCCGCGTTGGGCGATCCCCCTGCCATGTACAAGATGGGCATGATACTCCTGAAGGGACTCTTGGGCCAACAGAAGAACTTCGGTGAAGCCATCAACATGCTCAAACGAGCTGCTAGTCTAGCCGATCGCGACAACCCGCACGCACTCCACGAATTGGCCCTCATCTACGAAGCGCAAACCGGCAACGAACGCGTCATACGCGACGAAGCGTATGCGCTCCAGCTCTTCCACCAAGCCGCCGATCTTGGCTACAAGTTCTCTCAATTCCGTCTTGGTCAAGCTTACGAATACGGGCTCCTGGGCTGCCCAATCGACGCACGTACTAGTATTGCTTGGTACACCAAAGCCGCTGCCCAGGAGGAACACCAGAGTGAACTCGCACTCTCAGGTTGGTACCTCACAGGTACATCGGGCATACTCGAACAAAGCGACACCGAAGCTTATCTCTGGGCGCGGAAAGCAGCGTGCGCGGAACCGCCACTGCCAAAGGCGCTGTTCGCCATGGGCTACTTCACTGAAGTGGGTATAGGCTGCCCACGCAGTTTGGACGAGGCGAAACGGTGGTATGGACGGGCTGCAGGTATGTTTTAAATGTCACCTTTTGCAGAAAGTAGATTGCTAACATGTTGACAGCATACAAATTCCCCAAAGCTCAAGAACGTCTTGAGGAGCTTAAGCGTGGTGGAAGTAAAGTGCAGATGAAGCGTGAACGTCTTAGTCGGACGAATCAGAAGCAACAGGAGGAGAATTGCTCGGTTATGTAGTTGTGGGTTGGATTGTACTATCATCTGGATGATTTGTTTTCGAGGCGCTGTTTGTCTGCGTTTGCTTGGTGTTGCTGGCGTTGAGCGTGGAGTTTATGTTGAAAGCATTGACGGCGTATGCTGTTTTGGTACGCTTTGATACATAACCTGATCGAGCGCGAACATCGAATACAGCCTTCAATCAAACAAGCATACAACAAGACCAACTCCCGTGAAGCCGAACTCCCTCGTCACCAAAACTCCATCCCATCACTGCCCTCTCTCCAACTTCTTTATCTCAGCCTCGACCCTCTCCGCCTCTTTAACCAACCCCTCCTTCCTCTTCGCCAGATCCCTCATCCCCTTCTCCCCAGCCTTTCCATACAATTCCAACTCCCGTCGAGCCAACGCCTCACGGTCCCAAAGCGCCCTCTTTCCCCCACCCAACCCTTTCCTAAACTCCTTCAATGCATCGACAAACTCCGCGGGTGGGGGGTGCAGCAACGAGTGCGTTTTAGCCTGCAGACCGAGTAAAATGGCTTTTGTCTGCAGAAGCTCTGCGGAGGATTTCGTGTGGCGGGCTAGAGCGCCTTGTTGGGTTTGCTCGAGGATTTTGATGCTGGTGCTGAGGAGGGAGGAGTGGGTGGAGAGGAGAGTGGTTAGCGTGGTTGTTAGATGGGTGTGTGCGGCTTGCAATTCGCTGGGCAGGGTATCCGAGGCGGAGGTTTGGAGGGTTAGAGATGTGCTGTGGAGGGATGAGATAGGTGGGGGGGAAATTGGAGACGCGATAAGGCAGAGGTAGTCGGCTATGTTGGTGAATTGGGTTGATAAAGCTGAGGCGATGGGAGCGATGTTTGAGTGGAAGAACTCGATGTCTTCAGATAGTATATCGAGGTCGGATGCGGGAACTTGGCCGTTGAGTTGGGCGGTTACGGTTTCTGTAATTGCGTGTAGATCCGGTGGAAGATCGGTGGCTTTTGATGGAAGGGTTGAGAGCGATGTTGTGAGGATCTGCGTTGTGTGGAGGGTTGTAAGGGCGGAGGTCAGAGTCTGGGGTCATGTCAGTATGTATGGTCAATATCAAACCATAATTTTGTGTATAGGCCAAAGGTCTGTAAGGAGATGTCAAAGATGACCCTGTGGATGAGCAAAGGCAGGGACTGTAAACAAACAAAGGATTGGATTGCAGAATCGCGTGTCTAAAGCACGGAATTACCAATATAGTAATGACCCGAATGCCTTCTCAATAGTGAAAACAAAGCAATCCTTACCTTCCGTATCTCATCATGTACTCGCTGCTTCTTCGTATCCCTCGATGAGCCATTCGGATTAAGCTTCCTTGTGCAAAGATCCTTGTACAATATCTCAAAGTTAGGATTGCGCTGCAGGACAACGGGATCAATCGGCGGTAGCATGACGTTCCTCGAGCTTGCGTGGTGTGGCTTGGAGGTACAGCTAAGAAGAGACGCGACAGGAGTAGGTGCAGTGAAGTAGCGGTAGGAGCGGGGCGCTAGCTCGTTACTACCTAGTGCCTTAGCCCACCTTTCACTCTCGTCGATCCCCAAAAGTCCCATCTTCTCCAATTCGAATATCATATCAAGACCATACTCGTATAATTCAAGAACAAATCCCCACATAATGCCAGAACCCCGCCGCCAATCGTCCACATCGACGGTATCAACATACCACCTCTACAACCGCACGGGCTCCTCCTGTGCACGTCGCGTCCGCATCGCGCTTTCCCTGAAGAAGGTCCCCAACGTCCTCTACCACGACGTCGAAAAATACACACGCACCTCGATTGGCACAAAACAGTACCTAGCCATAAACCCCAGTGGCGCTGTTCCCACTCTAATTCACGAAATCACCACACCAGGCCACTCTACCAAACAACGCTTCGTGCTCACGCAATCAACCGCTATACTAGAGTATCTGGACGAGATGTTTCCGGGGGCATGTCCTTTGATGCCGCTGGTGGGTAACAGGGAGGAGAGAGCACGGGTGAGGGAGCTGGTTGCGGTGGTGACGCAGGATATGTTTCCTTTTGCGAATCGAGGGAATGGGGTGAGGTTGTGTGAGGTTGCGAAGGCGACGGAGGAGGGGCGGTTAGGATGAAATTGAATGAGGGGTTTGATGCCTACGAGGCTATGGTGGCGAAGTGTGGGGGTAGGTATAGTGTGGGCGATGAATTGAGTATGGCGGATGTGTGTCTCGTGCCGCAGGTGTTGCAGGCGCAGTTGTGTGGGGTGTTTGTGCTCGGATGTGATAGATGGCCGCTGATCAAAGCTGTGGTGGGTAGGTTGGCGAGGGTTACGGCTTTTGCTGAGGAAATGGGGGATATTGCTGTGGACGAGGAGACTGTCGTGAAACCACTGCCATGATAGCTATGCAGACTGCTAAAGCGTCTCTATCTTCCTCTAATGCATGTCAACGCCGTTAAACGCCAGTTCATACGCTGAACTTTTCTCTTCGAGAACGCCATACATCAGTTGCACGCAAAGCTGCGTTCCATCTCCTAATCAAAAGATTTCCTTCTCACAAACAACCTCATACCGTTCATCCACCACCTCTCCCTGTCCTTCCGCACCCCCACTCCAAATCTTCTTCGCGCCCATCTTACAGATACAGACTCGATCTATCCTGACACCCTCCGCCCAGACAAAACCCTTGTACTTCTCAATCAGATTGCGGGCGTCAAAGCGCATCCAGCTCTTGCCATCAGGACCATGACCTTCACCCGTCGGACGAGACGGATCTGCTGTTGAAGCTTCGCCAGCGTTACCATCTACAGACCCTGCTGTCGACGCGCCATCTTCTTCATTTCCATCGTGGCCATTGGTATCGCTGTTCCCAGTCTGACCATCCACCCCATTCCCATGATGATGATTCGGCGAAACCTTACCTTCAACAAGCCTCAACCCATCCTTCAACATCCCACTCTTACTCCTCCCCCTCCCCGCTCTCCCCTTCGGCTTCGCATAAATCGTATTCAGCACCGTAGCATGCAATCTCAACGGCCTGGTATCCTCAACCAACAACCCCATCGCCGTGAACCTCTCTCGCAGGGCCTCAGCAAAAGGATACAACCGCTGCGACACATCCCTCGGTTCCGCATACAGTATACTCGTTTTATGCGGCGCTTGCATCGGAACCAGAGATTCTAGGTTGATTGTTAACGCGTCCGTGTCGGGCATGGCGGCGGCATTGAGGTTCTCGGCTATCTCGCCGCTTTCGGCGGCGGCTTCTGCGACGCGGAGGTGGGTTATGTCGCGCAGGAGGGTGTGCAGGTCGAGGTCTGAAAGGTATTCTTGCGCTTGATCTAATTGTTGGGGGGAGAGACTCATTACGCCGAGGGTGAGGTGCAGGGTGCCGACTGGGCGGACGGCTTTCGTGGGGACGGGTCCATCTTTTGATAGCTCTTCTTTGAAGTTTTCGAGTCTTTGCTGCAGTTGCGGGCGGCTTGATTCGGTGACTAGGGGGAGACAGAGGAAGTGGGTGAGTTGTGGTTTCTTTGCGCCGCCTTTGCCTGGTTTCTTGCTGTCTTTCTGGTCTTTTTGTACTGATGGTGGTGGTATGTCTCGAGATGCAAAGCCCTGTAATGTCGTCCTGATCTCGGTGTTGTCGCGCAGCTTCTCGCCGTCTAGGAAGTCGTTGTATTCGCCTTTCGACTTCTTTTTGCCCATGATTGGTGATGTGGTGTGAAATCCGACGGAGGAAATTTGATCTGAATGAACGTATCGGGCTTTCCTAGCTGCTCTGTTCTTTGCTAGGCAACGAGTGGAGTGCGCAACAGCAGTAGTAACAGTAGTGCGTCGGCTGATTGGTCCACGCGCAGCTCGATGCAAGACGGCCGCAAAGAGCATGAGAAGACAAGGAAGGCGCTCGAAGCGCAGGGAGCAACTAAATGAATGGTTCACGGCAAGGAAAGAGCGATTCTAGGCGCGCCGAACCAGACGCCACATGATCCCACGGCAGCACCGGCAAGACTACCACTGCGGAACCGAGAAAAGGGTCTGACGATGGAACCACTCATGGTGTTGACTTTTCATGGGGCGCGGTCTTGAGCCTATCAAAGCGTGCTTTCCAACCTATCAGACGCAACACCAAGTCCGGCAACGCCATGTGCGAAGAGTGACGTAGGTCCCGAAGGTGGGGTGAGTGACATGCGCCGCCGCTGGGCACACGTTCGGCCCTTCACCCGTAGGGCTGAGGAACGTTCCATGTCACTGAGTACATAGTTCAGAGAGGGGTTAGTATGGTATTAGTTTCAGTGAATGATACTTGTCTAAAGTATTTACAGCTGCAATGCGATCATGTGAAGTGTTACTCTGCGCTTGAGCAAACAACACATTCATCATGACGATAGGGAGAGTTAACATTCATTCGTAATCTATGCAAGTGCGATGGAACCAAATAGACAAATTGAGGGCAAGCTATGTAGAGTACTGGAATTTCCTCGCTGACCCGGTGACGGCATGTACACAAAAAGCGCTCCTAGGAACGTGAGATGGTGGAATGTCGCGCAGGAGAAAGTTCGTCAAGGATGAGGACGTGTCGCGGTAGAGCGGAAAGCCCGGTGTCGCAATTGTCGCTCCGTGAAGCGTACGGTCCTAGACTTGGCTGCTACCGATACCGACTCCTCCCAGCTGAGCGTGGCGAGTGCGAGACTGGTGTGCTCGCGCCGTAGCTCTGGCTGATGCGGGCTCTATTTCTTTGCCGCAGTGGGAGAGGGCGCGGCTTCTTCTTCCGCCTCCTCCTCGTCGCCCTCGTCCTGGTAGAACTTCTTGAGGATTTCCTTGACGTCGGTGAACTCCGTCTTTGCCTGCTTGATGATCTTGGCCAGGTTCTCCTGCGCCTTCTCCTCTGTTATGTCCTTGGTGCCCGCGTCGTCCTTGAGCTGGCCGTAGTGTTGGATCTTCTCGCACGAGTCTTTGACTTTGGTGAGGCCGAGCGTGGCGGACGAGCCCTTGAGGAAGTGGCCTAGCTCACTAAGCTCCTTGAGGTACTTGCCCTCCTTCTTCTCGCTGGGTGGCGTTAGTCGTCGCGCGCATATCGCAGGGCGCGCATGGGGCACTCACAGCTCCTTGTCCATCTTCTTGAAGGTCTGGTCGGCCTGGCCAAAGAAGTCGTAGACGATGCTTTTGCTGAACTCGCGCTCGACCTCGTCCTCGTCCATCTCGAGAATCTGCTCAAAGGTGGCTGGGTCGATCTGGTCCTCGGCGCCAGGGATCGACATGATGTCGCCGTTCTGCGGGGGGAGTTTTAGGTTAGGAGGTTGAGCTATAGATAGGCGCGTGTTGCGATAATGTAGCAGAGACAGCAGGCGGATGACACGTGCGGAGAATTGCAGACATGGAGGGGCCAGGCAGGAGCAGGCAGGCAGGACATGGAGGGGCAGCACGAACCTTGTCGTCGGTAACCGACATGCTGAACAGGACGCAACAGCAAATCCGATTTACGGGAAGCGCTCTTCAACCTCGCGGGATGCTGTCGACACCTTCGTGTACTGGCGTCGCAGCGCTTCAATGCTCGTGGCGCGACGGTGACGGATATTTTTTCGCGCCTCAGTAGTGGGCCGTGCGGCTGTCCGATTCACTGGCTGCGGCTCGATGGGGCTTAGTGGATGACGAAAGGGTCGGCCCGTTGTTGCTGTGAGCGCCGTTGTTAGAGCTGCTGTCTTCTGCAGAGGGCAATGTCTCGGGACGCAGGGCAGAGTGGGAGATGTGAGTGTGACTGCTACGCTGCCTACCGAACTACTACGTACAGAAGCCCTCTTAGTCTAGTCAACCCCTCTGCTCGTTTAGTCGCTATAGTCTCGACGGAAGCGGCTGCCGAGGGAAGCGACAAAGCTATCCTGTTCGCGGTAGATTGGGACGACACGTCGAGTCGGTGAGATAAGAAGAAAGCAATTTGTGGCACTGGTGGTCACGGGCACGCTGCTCATATACAGCCGCGAGGGTTCTAGAAGTGAGATTGGCGATGTTTGCATCACCACAAAAGAGGGGGGCCACGGAATCATAGGCACAGAAATAAGGCCTCGCTATATGTGGGTGGATACCTCGACGTCAATCGGCAGCCTTCACTCGCCGTGGATCGCCTGTCACAGAGCCAACTCTGCCCTCTTCCAGCGGCTGACTGGCGACCATGCCCCCCATCGCCCTCATCGGCTGCCCGGCCAAAAGTAAGGTAACGCGCCCGGGTCGTGTGTGGAGTCTGCCCTCTGACCTGGCAGCTTGCCCGCACCGTGGTATCTTCTGCGGCTGATGGGGCTAGTTGCGACCCTCGCTCGCACCGCTTTGTCCCGTCGGCAGAGCAGACCATGGAGTGCGCAAAGACTGGAAAATGAGTGCGGTTGACAGGGCGCCAAGAAGGCCTGGAAGCGTTCGAAAGTCTGCCATTTCCCGCTGTTGGAAGGGGGCAGGGCGGGGTGCCAGCGTACGAATATAAAGAAAGACGAGGGTTGGTTTTCGTCGTGAGAACAACGACGTCACTCCGCCAGCCATCGTCATCGTGCATGCTCACCCGGACCCTGAAAACTCATTTGCTGGGTTGGGCTAGCAGCATGTACCGCGCACAAATACCTCGACAGGTCGCCGTTGGATTCCATGCGTTGCGCGCTCTCAACGGCCGTGTAGAGGTCCTATTAAGATAATTCCAACCTTTGCCAGCACATGCGTCTTGGAAACGAGTAAACGCCATAGGCCCGGGCACCCACTCCACAGACAGGCATGCACCTTGGACCCTGACCTCTTTTCTCGCAGAAACCTGCAATGCACCTGAATCATGCTCGTTCGTCCGGCCTCCTCCGAGCTGCAAAGCTTCGATACTTTCCTGTTGCTGGAGCAGGGGCTACGGATGACGGAAGCAATAGTGCGTAGAGGCGTCTGGGATCAGCGTTCGTGATGCAGGCGTGCAGGACAAGGAACCTGCGGATCGCAGCTGCAGGGTCACTGAGTGGAGTAGTTAGCGTGACGGTTTCATCGGTACGGTCACTTGCTGAACGATGCGGTGTGCGGTACCGGCGCAACTTGTCGAACCGTGAAGCACACAAAACTTGGCTTCGTTGTTTTCGGAGACCTTGGCGCGACACAAACCGAAGCAGCTCCGCCTGTAGGCCTTGAACACCCTTTTGGTATCCCGCATATGCAAGTGAGTGAAACCGGACAGGTAGGCGTGCGTTTGTCATTCGCGATCACGATGTCCCAGCGCACGGGAACTAGCGTCATTGCACAATGCTGTGCGAGTTTCCAGCGATACTATGCTAGGTAATGATCTGTATATTACCGATGAACTCGCAAACGACAGGACCAACCACTCGTGGGGTGTGGGGATAAAGTGGGTGAAGTCTGAGTGGGAACAAAACTTCGGTGAAGGATTGGAGGATCGACCAAATTAAACGAATCAGGTACTTCGATCCGAGAACACAAAAGACGGCATGAAGGAGGTTGTAAGATCGTGAGCCGTTTCATTTCTCGTATGTTTTTTCATTGTATAATCTAGCCGCCGATGCTGTCTGCACGGTACAATGCTGGCGCCATGTTATGTCACAAGGTTCGCTGAATCACGGAAGGAAGTAGAACACTGTCATGACGATCCTAACCCTTGACCTTGTAGATGGCCTCGGCCAGGCGCCCGACGTTCTCGCTGGTGATACCCGCGACCGAGATACGGCCGTCCTTGGTAGCATAGACTGAGTGCTGTCATGGCGGTTAGCGCTGCTGATGTCAAGATGGTTGCAAAACATAGACTTACCTCCTTCGCTAGCTTGTCCATCTGCTCGGCTGTCAGACCAGTGTAAGCGAACATGCCAATCTGGGAGGTGATATGGCTCCAGTCGTGCTTGCTGCCGAGCTTCTCGAGGTTCTCCTTGAGGAGGGCACGCATGGTGATGATGCGGTCAGCCATGCCCTTGACCTCACCAAGCCATTGCTTGTTCAGCGAAGCGTCGTTCAGAATCTCAGAGGCAATGCGGGCACCGTGAACTGGGGGGTTAGAGTACAATGGGCGGACGAGGATCTTGATCTGAGAGTCAACGCGCTTCTTCTCGTCGGCAGACTCGCAGACGATGGAGAAAGCACCAACACGCTCGCCGTAGAGACCCATGTTCTTGGCGAAAGACTGAGCCAGGCAGGGGCGGAGACCCTCCTTGATGAAGTGACGGAGAGCGAAGGCGTCCTTGGTGGTGTCACCACTGGCAAAGCCCTGGTAGGCCATGTCGAAGAAGGGGTAGTGGTCGCCAGCCTTGACAGCCTCAGCGATCTGAACCCACTGCTCCTCGGTAGGGTCTACACCAGTAGGGTTGTGGGCACAGGCGTGGAGCAGGACAATGCTGTTCTTGGGCATGGCCTTGATGTCGGCCACCATGCCGTCAAAGTCGAGGCCAATGGTGTCCTTGTTGTAGTAGCGGTACTTCTCGACCTTGAGGCCGGAGTCCTTGAAGACAGCGTTGTGGTTGGCCCATGACGGCGTGGGAATGTAGATGGCCTTCGCGCCGGGGTAGTGGCGCTCGAGGAAGGCACCACCAATGCGGAGGGCACCGGTACCGGAGATGGTCTGGGTGACGGCGATGCAGTCGTCGTTGAGGGGAGTCGAGTCGGCACCGTATGCGAGCCTGAGGGCAGCCTTGGTGAAGTTGGGGACACCGGTGATGCCGGCGTACTCCTTGTCGAGCGATGACTTGACAATCTTCTCCTCTGCTTCCCTTACGGATGGCAGGACGTAGGGCTTGCCCTTGTCGTCACGGTAGGCACCAACACCTGTCGATAGCTGTCAGTCGCGCCTTCCATGTCGGATTGAAGAGCTGGTACTAACCCAAGTTGATCTTCTTGGGGTTGCTGTCGGCCTTGAAGGCTTCGGTGATACCTAGAATGGCCTTGGGCGGGGCGGTGAGCTACGGCATGGCCTATCTTATCAGGAGCTGTACTTACATCCTGGGGGTCAGTTAGCTCTGGTGAAACACGACTGGGGACCAATTGCTTTTGCCACTTACTGGAGGACCCTGCGGTACCTGCGACCAAGCGGAGACAGCTCGGACGCTGGTCCTGAGGGACAGCTGCTTAGTCGCCGCCTGGCGCAGCGCCGTTCTTGATGACGCGAGCATGGTTGAGTTGTGTGCGGGGTGGAAGGGGAGTTGAGGGGCAGCGTAGAGGGAGAGGAGAGGGTGATAGAGCTTCCCGTCGACTATTGTAGTGGGTGGTCTGAGCAAAATACCCCAGAAAAGCAATAAACTCCCCGTCGCCCGTTTCGCGGGAGAGCTTCGATGACTCGGGGCAGCCACGATCGCCTCCGATTCGCTTAGCCGAGGCACCCCTGCTAACTCCGGCGGCCTTCACTAATTTTCATGGCAAACGGGCGCGTCGCGTGGGTGAATTGACCTGGGTTGACATTCAGTAAGACTTCCCGTACACTATGCGACCCGCTCTAAGGCAAGCCAGGACGCTGCTGAATCATGAGGCCTCGGTACCTCTCTTCCTCTGTCCCGCACTGGTCAGAGCGCCCATAGCCTCTCATCACCGCCGAACGCCGCAGAAAGAGCCTCTGAAGAAGTATTCGACTTTAGTAGCACCTCAGGATCAAATCAACGCCACTTCTGCTCCTACCGATACCAGCGACGCCCCTCCTAGCAAACCCTCACCAGACACATCCTCAACCCAGAGGTCACTGCCGCGGGCATGTCCAGGATGCGGTGCGCCATCCCAGATATACAACAAGAGAGAGGCCGGGTACTACGACGTAGACCACAACTCGATACGGGAGTACCTTGACGGTGTCCAAAAGGCAAAAGAGGCGACTGTCGAGGACGACATATATGCCAAGGCGCTCAAAAATGTGAATCCTGAGCTGCTCGGAGAATTAGGGCTTCAGGACGAAAGCATCGAAACACAGCCAGAGGACGAAACGCCGTCCACTCCCGTCTGCGACCGATGCCATAACCTCATCCACCACCGCAAAGGATCGCCTATACACCACCCGACCGTCGAATCCATACAGCAGACCATCGCAGAGTCGCCCCACCGCCGCAATCACATCTACCATGTCGTCGATGCCGCCGATTTTCCACTGTCGATAGTTCCAAACCTCCAGTCGTCCCTGCGGATACCCAAACTTCGGACCCAGAACCGACGCGCAAAACACAAGGGATGGGTCGCCAATGATCGCATTGCAGAGGTCAGCTTCATCATCACGAGGGCTGACCTGCTTGCGCCAAAGAAAGAGCAGGTGGATGTTCTGATGCCATATGTCCGAGACGTGCTTCGAGATGCGCTTGGGAGACAGAACGCGAACGCGCGACTGGGTAACGTACGGCTTGTGAGCGCAAAGCGGGGATGGTGGACCAAACAAGTCAAAGAAGACATCTGGGAGCGCGGAGGTGCAGGCTGGATGGTTGGCAAGGTCAATGTAGGAAAGTCAAACCTCTTCGAGGCTGTCTTTCCGAAAGGGCGAGGAGCAGACTACCAAGATGTGCGCAAGATACGGAGCGCAGCTGAGCGTGAAGCAATGCTCAGCAGCGCAAAGTCGCTGGAAGAGCTCACCCGGGTACAAGCACTGCTCGCCGAAGAGGACGCCGAAACGGAACGACTGAAGAGCAAACCTAAACAACATCTCCATAAGCCTCCTGCAGAACTCGAGGAAGAAGTCGAAGAGGAGGATTTCGACGATCCTGATGCGCTCCTGCCACCACCTCAACCGTACACACCCTACCCCGTCCTCCCAATCGCCTCCTCGCTGCCCGGAACAACCGCCTCCCCAATCCGCATCCCCTTTGGCAACAACAGAGGCGAGCTCATCGACCTCCCCGGCCTCGCCCGCACAACACCCGGTCTAGAAACCTTTGTCCAACCCGCCGCCCACGACGACCTCGTAATGAAGAACCGCATAAACTCCGAACGCTACACTCTCAAGCCCGGACAATCCCTCATCCTCGGTGGCGGACTAATCCGCATCACACCCGCAACCCCGGATCTAGTCTTCCTCGTCCACCCCTTCGTCCCCATCCACCCGCACGTAACGCGGACCGAAAAAGCCATAGACTACCAAGCGCAAACCTCAGACCGCCAACTCCAAGTTCCCCCTATCCTCGCCCCCCACGTAGGTTCCAAGATGGACTCAGCCGGTAAATTCCAGCTCAAATGGGACGCGACCAAGAAACTCGCCGGCCCCGTCACCTCCCCCGTGGCAGGCAAGATGAAGCCCGAAAACCTGCCCTTCCGCGTCTGGAGCACGGATATCCTCATTGAGGGTGTGGGCTGGATAGAAGTCAGTGCGCAGACCCGACGGCCTCAAGGCTGGAAGCCATCTGGCAGAGAGAAGAAAGACCCCAATCAAGCGAAGTTCGACCGCATCACGCGCCTCAAGGAGGAGGAAGAGCGTAAAAGCAGAAAGTTCGCTGCACTTGCCCGCGCGGAAGAGGAGGGACGGGATGCAGAGGAGGTTCTCGAGGAGGAGTTCTACGAAGACGATATGAGGGATAAGATGGCAGAGTGGGAAGAGGACTATCCTGAGGTGGAAGTGTTTAGCCCGCTGGGCAAGTTTGTCGGACAGAGGAGGCCGATGTGTGCGAGTACGGTTAGTGGGCCGAAGTATGTGGCGAGTAGGGATAGGAAGGTTAGGCCGAGGAGGAGTATGGTTAGTGTCAAGAAGCAGCGGAAGCCGAAGGGTGGGGAGTAGGGCTTTTGAAGGAGGCAATGTGTAGATTAGTTGTGTATATTATGAATAGGAGGCTTGATCACGAAGCTAAACGTTTATGTTAATAGTATTCGTCTACACCGTATATGAACTCCGTAATGCGTCGATTCAGTCACGTTAACTTTCTCGTCTCCAGGACAATTGCGTCTTCCATACGCCTATTACGCCAATGTCTTTCTTTCACATATATCCAATACACATTTACTCCAACGCTCTACTCCAAAGCCTTCCTACGTTGCGCAACTGCCCTCAAGGTGACACCAGCGGTTGCTTTCCTAGTTCTTGCCCTGTTCGAGTATAGCCCAGAACTGTTCCTGTTCCTTCGCGCAGTCCCGTCCGTCTTTATCGCAGCCGGGGAAGTTGGCGACGAGATCGCCTTCTGTGAACTGTCCGTCTTTGGGACTTGCGGGGCCGGTTGCGTAGGCGTTGAGGAGGTTCTGCGGGACCATGGCTAGTTTGGCGAGGATGGTGCCGTGCCATCTAGAGATTCAAAGATTAGTAACGTCTCCTCACATGCAACCCAATTGAGTCTCGATATTTAGCTCGAGGAGGACATGAAGGGCAAACTCACTGAACAATATGCTCCAAAGCATGACTCTCCGCCTTCTGAAAGTTATAACTCCTGTATATCGGATCGAACCAAGCATCCAGGAAGAACTTGGCCCACTCCCCGTTCCTGACCACGAAACTGCTCGGTGCCAATCCGTCCTTGTCCTGTGTAACGACGAAATCTATTCTGTCGCCCTTGAGGTTGCTGAAGGTTTTGATGACGCTGTCGGGCGGTACGACGGGCGCATTGGTGATCATGTGGGTTTCGAGTTTGGCGGGCGTGAGGAGGTGGGTGTGAATGGGGAGTGCGGTGTTCATGATGAGCGCCGTGGCGTCGAGGTACCAGAAGAATGTTGAGGTTGGGTAGAGCGTCATGGCGTGGCGGGTGCCGGGGACGCGCGACCAGGTCGCGGGTGAGTTGCCGATGGGGTATTGGTCTGCGGTGGGGAAGAAGGTGAGGTAGCCTGGGATGGGGTTAGTATGGCCCTTTGCTCTGATATCGCAATGGGTGGGAAGAGAGAGTTCAGGCATACCATGTTTCTTGGCGTATTCTTCCCTGTTGCTCTTGATCTTTTGAGTCCAGACGGGATCCGCCTTCGGATCTATTGTTGTGATAACCACCACAGGCGGTCCGCTCCCTATCGCCGGCTTGGGTATATTCGCGGCTGTCCAACCCCCAACTTTAGAGGCTGTCCTCCTGCTGGTTCCTCCACTACCACTCAGCATCCATATCAGGACAAAGAAGCCCAGTACACCGCCGACTATCAATCGTCCTGCTCTGCTGCGAAGGAGATTCTTGAGCGCAGGCGGAATCGCAATTCCTCCGCTCTGGTTGCGGGCGGCATAGGGCGGTGGTCGCGACGTTTTCCTCGGGGGCATGGCGAAATGCATGATGTGTCGTAAGCGTCCGTGGTCTCGGGAAGATCACTCGCAATTGCGGTTTTGGTTCGGGATTGGTGAAAGCGGAGCGAGTGATAGGCCACTTGGAGATCGTGAAGTCGGGAATTGGGCGTGGAAATTCGTTACGAGAACATTGCGGGTTATGCGAAAGAGATGGACGGCCGCTATGCACAAGACGGGCACGGCTGGGGCTGGGGGATGCTGTGCGGTCGCGGAAAGGGTCGATTTAATCTAGACACGCGACGACATGGGATGCGATGCGATGGGCCTTGGCAGGAGGGACCTTGCCTTAGCGGCCGCAGGGCAGGGGCAGCGGGCTGAGAGAGGGGAGTCACGTTTCCTGAGTACCGGCGTGTCTTCTAGAATTCGATATAGATTGGCATATAAGTTGTTGATGCATCTCGCCTTGAGTGACTGCTCAACGCCACCTGCACGCTTGCACGTGGTGCAACTCTTGCACGTTGTGTTATCTCCTTTCCGAGCGGGCTATCGTCAACTTCAATGATAGCACACCTTGGGCTTCGCCAAGCCCGCAATCATCCCAGAATAGAGACGATACGGACTTAGCACGTGCCTTTGCTGAGCACAATCAGTCAGATACGGGATCCAAAGGCTGCCGATATTTGGCCTTTCCGCGAAGACGTTCGTATTCGCCGACTTTCACCTTCGAGGAGCCCATAGTGTATGCGCTATGCGAAAGAAACATCGCATAGTTTTTCTAATATCGGGTTATGGTTATTTTAATTCCAGAGGATAAGATGAAGGATAAAGCGAAGGATTACAGCGTCTTCGAGGATTGCTCGCCAAGACTCGCGACGTACTACGTCAAGATCTTCAACATGGGAATCTCCAGCGAAAAGACAGATTCCCAGCTAAAGCGGAAACTCGGTACAATCGCCAAGCGCTTTCCTTATCCACATGCGATGTGACGACTGCTTGCTAATACAACACGCTCATAGCTTTGCAGCTACTTCTGCGTTACCCGCTATGACGTCGCCTGTCTGTCACAGTAAAGGGACGGATCCCTTAAGAAAACTGCGATTGATCGCCATCTTACCAGCATCAATTGACTTCCAACTCACGAGTAATTTCTCAAATCACATTCCATCCTAGCTTCTCTAATATATCGCAAACCGCAATCATGGTCGAAAAGGTTATTCAACTGAGATGCGAGTGCAATCAGTACCCGTGGGGAAAGCAGGGCTCAAAGTCGCTGGCGGCGACTTTGTGCGAGAAGACTCCAGGCACACAATTCAAGATTGACGAAAACACAAGTTACGCTGAGATGTAAGTTGCCAAAACTACATTGTCGAATGCAGTCTAACATGTTCAGGTGGATGGGCACATATCCCGAATTGCCTTCATATGTCTTAGAGACTGGCGAGGACCTTCAAAAAGTGCTCGACAGACACCCTGATGAGCTTGTGGGAAAGACCACTGCCGAGAAGTTCAACCACACCAAGCTGCCATATCTGCCCAAGGTCCTGTCGATAGCGAAGGCCCTACCTCTGCAACTGCACCCAGTATGTTCGTCTCTACATCGATCTGTTCCACAACTAACACAGTATCAGAACAAAGACTTGGCTTCCAAGCTACACGCAAAGAACCCGGATCAGTTCACCGACCCCAACCACAAGCCAGAGATCGCGTTGGCTCTCGGCGACTTCGAGGCTTTCTGCGGCTTCAAGCAACTGAAAGACATCGAGCGTTTGATGCAGCTACCACCACTCCAAGCCTTTCTTCCAGAAGTCAAGAAGCCTGAGTTCGACGACCAGACTCTGAAGCACGTTGTCAAGGAAATGCTGCTGGCCTCCGAGGACGCTGTACGCAAGACCAACGACGCACTCATGAAGATTCCCAAGGAGCAATTCGGCGAACACAGCTACATCCCAGACATGATTCCTCGTTTGGCTGAGCAGTACGACAAGGCCGATAATGGAACTCTTGTTGCTCTCATCACCATGAACTACCTCCAGCTCAAGGCTGGCGACAGCATCTACATCCCGGCCGACGGTATCCACGCATATCTCTCCGGTGATATTATCGAGTGCATGGCCCGATCAAACAACGTCTTGAACACTGGTTTCTGCCCACGCGCCGACCGCGACAACATCGACATGTTCTGCTCAAGTTTGACTTTCACACCACACGACGCCAAGGAGGCGATCCTACCAGCAAAGCCTTTCGATGGAAGCAAGAACGGCAAGACGCAGCTGTACGCGCCACCATTGAGCGAATTCAGCATGCTAGCCACAACCATGGGCGATGGCGATTCCGAGACGATCCGGTCGCTCGGTGGACCAAGTGTCATGATCGTGACCGAAGGCGAGGCAACCATGAAGGGCAACGGCAAGGAATACAAGCTCAGCGCCGGCTACATTTTCTTTGTCGCTCCAGGCGTAGAGCTAGAGCTCAAGGCCACGAAGCCGCTCAAGGCGTTTACCGCATTTGTAGAGTAGATCGACACATGTACGTACCTGACAATGAGGCTCAACCCGGCGGAGGTGGCTAGCGGCCGATTGGGCGGACTAGAGCTTCCCCGCACCTTTCACGTGCGCGTGCCATCAGCACTACGCATGTACTTTGGCTGTGTAGTTGTATAGCCAGAAAGCTTATAAGTTGAGAGCGGAACATACTCGGATCCGCACGCGCGTGTACTGGTGATCTCCACATGTATCCTTGTTTCCCCGCACTTGATGGCAGGTACCCCTCTGTAGCTGGGGATAGCTATAAAACCCCGCAATGGAGCTCATGCTTGCTCGTAGGATCATATTCGTTTCTCTTTGATTGCTTCTTGATCAATTGAGTTGACATTTGACGTTGCTGAGCTTGCGAATCGCGTGAAGCGGCCTGAAGTTTGCCAATATCATCATCAGATTGAATCACAGCGCTGGTGCAGCTACTCAAACCAGGTAAGCAGCAAAAGCAAAAGCAATGCTATTTGGCGATATCATAACTTGATGTCGCGAAGTCCATTCAAACCCAACTAACATCAAACCAAGCCCTCCCAACCCCCCAAATCCAACCATGGCAACCACCGCCCCAATCCCAGCCGAGAAGCGCGACTCAATGGAAGCAACCGCCAACACGCTCGCCACCAAAATGAAAGCAGCCTCCCTCACCGAGACACCCCGAAAGCGACCTCTCGGTCTAACCGACCTCCCCCCATCCGTCCGCAACAACATCTACAAGCACTGTCTCGACACCGAACTTGTAAACCACGGCGCACCCAACGTGTCCTACACGCACACCATCTCCAAAGACGAAGGCATCTTGACCTTCTCCGCGTCACGCAACCCGTTCCCCGTGAACACAGCGCTGTTCCTTGTCAACAAGGAGATAAGCAAAGATGCGTTGTCGTATTTCTACGAGAAGAATCTTTGGGTTAGGTTCGATGTTTACACAAGCGACGCCCGGCATGCGAAGACGTTGCTGGAAGACTCTGGGCTGCTTTTCTCGACAGCGAAGAGTGAGGTAGTGGAGAAGAGTACGCGCCACGCTCTTGAGATCGTCCTTGTGGAGAAGAACAGCGCGCAGAAGCGTGCTTCTGTCATGTTCCCAGCCCAATATCTCCCACGGCTTATCAACTTCCTTGACCAAGCAAGCCGCGCAACAAAGACATGGGCTCAAGGACGCAGTCTCTTCCTCAACGTGGTAAATACGTATGGTTTCCCTGTTTCTAAACTGCAAGGAGATCTGCTCGAGCTGTTCCGTCTTATCAGCGGCTTTGGCAAGGTGGAAGTCGATGGCCAGAATCTGCTTCCGCGGTATGCGGAGGGACTGTCAAGTAACATGATGAGCGAGAAGTTTACAGCAGAGGCGTATATGGCCAGTGTACAAGAACTGGCTGATCTAGCGGATGAAGCGAGAGAGAAGGAAGAGTATGCGCTTGCAAATGAGTATGCTCAAGCTACTATCATCGCGCTGACGTACGGCTACCTGACACATGCCGAAACCCTGCATTCGCAAGAGGAGGACTTCAACAAGTCCATGCAACGACTACGCTGGAAGACAGAACTGGGCCTCGGCATCAGTCTTTCCATCCCACTTCGGGGCCTCACGTCAACGAAGCATTGGTTGCGAACATCGAACCCAACAGACGAGATCAGAAAAGCAGCGAAAGATCTACTCCAAGCCGAGAAATCAGTTTCTCAAGCCCTCAGTCTGGCATGCGACGCTCCCTCCCCTGCCTCAAACCCTTGGTTTCATTCCATCCCCGTCGAACTTATCCCGCCCAACAAACCCTCTTTCTTCACCGACCGCGAGAGGGCGCAGACGTGGTATGTGCTTGGTACTGTACACATGGCGCTGGGCGAGTATATCTTTGCTTGCGGTGATATGGAGAGGGCGTTGGAGTTGTGGGGTAAGGATAGTGGGGTTGATGAGGAAGGCGGATTGAGGTCAAAGATGGAGGAGACGTTTGAGAAGGCGAGGAAGGGGATTGATGGGGATGCGGAGAGTATGTGGGTTGGTGATGTGAGACCGGGGACTGGGTTGAAGACTGCGGCGAAGTTGGCTAGGGGGTTGTGAGGGGTGGGGTTCTTGGGGTTGAGGTCTCTGTATCGGTGGATAGCGTGTTTCGTGGTATAATCTCCAGGAGTTTGTACTACGAGACATGCTATCCATTGATACAGAGACCTCAAGCACTCATGTGTATGTCTTGAAGTCGTTGCATGCATTCGGTGATTCAAAGTTGTGAAGAGCAACAGATACACGATAACGAATGCTTGTGTTGTCGTTCGAATCCATAGTCATTCCCAGGCACAAATTTCCATCAAGCTCGTGCTAGCCTTTTCCCAGCGAGCACACTGGTGGCGCTAGACACTTGTCGTGCTCATCACGAGTAAGGGGATAGACTGAGATACTCAGGTAGCCACAGCCTTCGCTTGTATGCGGAGTTCCCGCTTGTTCTGCGCTGGCGCCCTTGGTGCTTGAAGGCCCTTGTTAAGCCTTGAGTGCACACGACTTGGTGGAAACTC